TTTGATCCCTCAATGGCTGTCTTTGTGTCCTTACAGTCATGAAGTCAGAGTAGGTGGAGTTGCTCCATTTCTCTCACTCTCACATACACACACATGAATAGAAATACAGACCCACACACAAAATGCAGCCCACAACTATTGCTCTGAAAAAAAACTGCTGATGCATATTTTCTTCAGTTTGTTGCTAGGGGAGTCCCAAGTATCGGGACAACAATGGGGTGATTGTTGCTATGTAAAAGATATCCATGAGAAGGTTTCAGACACTTAGAGGTGGACAGCTGCTGCTCGCCTTGTCCCGACAGCGATGGGCAGACGGCAGACGCACTTCATAAGGCTAGAAGATGAGGATACACGAGCGGGGCATCTGGATAGCACCGGGTCTTTTTTATATTAGCAAAAGAGTTGTCTCTGATCTAAAGTTACAAAGGATGGAGTTGCAGTTCAAAACAGAGGGTCATTCACTCTGGGGGTGTCACCTTACCACTCACTTACACTTTAGCCTTAAAGAGACAAAGACAAGAGACTCTGACTATACTCACTTTAGTGCATAACACTGTTATACTGCAGCAGAAACACTGAAGAAAGTAAAACATAAGAGACAGGGAACAACGTCACATGACTTTGGCTCAATGCTGAATCAAGTCAATGTTATTACCTTGAGGCTTGTACATACTCTCCGCTTTGCAAGTATGCAGACCACACTAAAAACTGATGTTAGCTTTTAGTCTTTTCAAATAATAATTTTACTGAAAAGGTCTATCTTTTTATTACAGATATTTATCAGCTCGAGCAATGTTAACCTATATTTCCACAATCGACTTGTTTCAAAACTCCCAAGAATCCGGGTTATACCGAGCAAAACAAAGGCTTTTGCAATCATACCACAGTACTCTTAACGTGAATCCACACCAGGTAATCATTCTATTACTGTACCTGCCTTACATTCCTGACAAAGATGTGAGTAAATTGTTGTATGGTAATTTAAATATTGTTGTTATTCTTCTACAATTACTGTATTCCAATACACATTGTTACACAGTGAGTTCCAATCATCCTCTGCCTCTCATCCATGTAAAGTGCATTAAACACAGTGTGATCTTCCGCTCCTCCATTATACAGCCTCATTATCACATAGTTAATTGGTGTCTATTAATAACCAGAACACACACTGAACTCTACAGTAGCTCAGGTTAAAGCATAGCATGACGTCACTCTGTATAATGAATGACATACTGTCAAGGTAAACTGATACCTCCAAACGCGAGGCAGGCTATTAAAATAAATGTGTATTGTTTTTTTTAATAAACGTTAAAATTGTGTAGCTTATAGGTAGAAAAGCCAGAGCTTTGTTGTACTTTAGAGAAACTAAATTGAAACAAGTGACTGGGAAAATCATCGAGACCCACAGCCAGTTGTGTGGGAAAGACTGCCAGCTAGTTTGTCTATTTAAAACCTATTTGTTTGAATGAATGAGAGAAAATATTCCGAACACAACTCTGTTACTATATCCTGGGTTTTCTCATGTGATTGTGAATGAATACTTCACCCACAAAATATTGTATTATATTCACTTTCCCATCCCGTGTTATCTACTTAAAATCATCAATAAACTGTTTTTCTCGCACATTTTCTCATTTTTATTGAACAAATAATTCGAAATATCGACTAAAGTCGTGATGACTAATAAGAACCAGCTGTGTTTTAATATCAGCAAAAGAGCGTTTAAATAGTAAAGTTTTAGCGAAAATGTTTTAGGAAGTAGTTAGCATACAACTTGATGAATAAGACTTCTGTGAACGTTTATAAACAGATTGTTTTATGGATTTGCTGTTGTTTAATAAAGCCTCCATTTTGTTCAATTTATCAAGAATTTTCTCTGTATTTTACTGTGGAGGCAAACAAGAATCTCCTCAAGAGTTCAAGGCAAAACTGAGTGAGTAATTGATATACCACTGGTCCTTTTGTGGGAGAAGTATTCCTTAAAGTTTCACCTGTTCTTCTATATGAGCAGGATGAGGTCAAGGTAGCTCTGTGTGTCTAAGGTGCAAAAGGGGACTCAGGGGCATCATTAGTGGCCCATGCGTCCCCCTTGCTTGGCTCTATTGTGTTAAACACAACATTACTCATCCAAGCCTCGGGCACCTGAGAGCAGCACAGCACCAATCAAGCTGCTGCACTGTGATTCATAGTGTGAGGAGGGAGACTTGCATAACAGCCCTTTTCCCATATCTAACCGTTCTTCTAAAATAAATAACCCTCTTATATATTTGCTGCAGTTTCAGGGTTCAGGGCATCAGAGTGTTGGAGGGGCCACAGCATCATTTAGTGTCCACTGATGTCTGAGGCTGCACACACATACAGGGCCTCAGGGAAGACAAACTTGACCCATTTTCTTCGACAGGAGTGTTTATGCTTATATGGCTGTGATGATGAGCACTGTATGACTGTATGTAGGCAAATTATATGGATCAAAGCAAGACAATGGTGGAAAAAAAACTAAAACATGCCAGATGACAAACATAAACACACATTGTATTATATTATCTGTCGTAATCTATGCAAACAAATGTGTTTATGTGCTATAAAAGCAACAAGGATACTGCATGGAGAAATTACAGCTTCAAAAGGAGGTCAGTGTGTTTTTATCATTTGTTGTAGTCGTGCACTGCAGCAGCACTGAGGCTCAACCAGCTGACACAGGACGATTATCTGAAGCTGGATCATGTAAACACACTCAAGATGTACACTTTTCACTACACTTGATCCCCGCCGCAGCTGTAACTACTAAACCCGCTGTATGGGAACCTTACCTTCGGATAGCTCCAGATCCAACTCCGCCAGCTGGTCCCTGACCTCTTTAGGCAGAGCCGACAGATCAACGTTGCGGTCGGCCATCGTTGGAAGCACAGCAGCCTGCGGGATGTTTGCGATATCTCGGATGACGGTAGATACAGTCCAGCATGAAGCTAAAATAAAATCAAGATGAAGCAGTGGTGATGTTTACTCCATCTTCGCGACTTCCCGACACCGCCATGACTGTGGGAGATGGGAACAACTCGGAGCCAGAGGAGTCTGTCAGTCACATGACCGGGGCTGACGGTAATTGCTGTGACAGGACGGTGGGGATGAAGCAGGCTCTCTGCTCCCTCTGCCGTTGTGTTTTTACAGCAGGGAGGAGGAGAAGCAGCATTCCTCCAGAGTCAACTCACCTGCCACCCTCCCCTCAGGTGGAAAACTAGCCCCAGTTTGTGCCTCTCATAATTTAACATAACACCGGAGCCCAAAGCTAACAGTTAGCTTAGCCAGTTAACGTCTGCTTTCCCAAAAAATAACCAGTGTAAACTTTGAAAAAACCCTCTTATAGTCCTAAAACAACCCTTAATACCTTAGGTTACTAAATACATCTTAGAAAAAGTCACATTACCATCTGGAGGATAAGTAAACATCCTTGCTTGCGCACAATAAAAGATTAAGTTAAATATATTTAAATTAAGTTTCAATTGCGATAGTAGGCATGCTGCTGTGGCCCAACTAAACAAAGATGGCTGCCGGGGTAATAACCGGAAAAGCATGACATGTCTCCTTTAAAGGTCCCATGTCATGCTTTTCCGGTTATTACCCGTCCCCTTGTGTGTTATGAAGGTTTTTATGCATGTAAACGGTCTGCAGAGTCAAAACCCTCAAAGTACACCCTGTAGGGAGTAAAACTCTAACACAGAAAATACCTCCCCAAAACACCTCGTTGGAGATTTCTCATGTTCTTCCTGGGCATCGTGACGTCTGGATACCCAGTAGCCACGCTCACAGCTATGACGCGATACGGTCATGCGGTACCCGGAACGAAATGGACCAATCCGTGGAGCCGTTACGTTATGTCCGCGGAGCAGTTACGTTAAGCCCCCGCTGATTGGTTCAAATTGACCAATCCACGGACACACACACACACACACTGTGCAGGCAGCAGCTCTGCTGATTTCTCCTCCCTGTGCAGGCTGATAACACAGTTGGGATCACGGCGAAATTCTCTCTGCAGACCCATTCTCACAGCGTTTATCAACCTTTTTCTTACTCAATATCAAGCCACACTTATTGTTTTTACTTCGGCTGTGACTTTGTGTGTGCTCAGGATGAGTTTGGCTGTCGCTAAACAAGGAAACCACACCTCCACGGAGCTCAGCGCGATTCACAACGTCCCGACCAATCAGAGCACACTGTGCTCACAGGGAGGGTGGGGGCTGGAGCTATTGGAGCTCAACAATGGAATTATGATCAGTGGAAATGGCCATGACATGGGACCTTTAAAATGTTAGTGTCAGGTAAGGGCCCATACCAGAATTTTGCCAAGGGCCTCAGTTGGGTCAGGCCCTGTAGAAAGAAGATGTACGCACAACTCTAAAGTTGTGTCAACTTTCAAAGTTAAATAGCAGGGTTGCAAGTTGCAATTATATTCATTTGCAGTTCATCTGCCAATTAATTACTCAATTAATCATTTTTTCTATAAAATGTCAGAAAATAGGGAAAAATATACATGCCATTATCAAAGGTCAGAAATGGTGTCTTTAAACATCTAATTTAGCCAGTCAAAACCAAAAGGAAGTAAGTTAATGATGAACTAAAAGAGAAAAATGTCCATATTTGGGAGGCTGAACACAGCAATTTCTGCAATACAAGAGGCACAAAGTGGGGATAGGTGGGAACATTCTGATTATGGTTTCCTTTTCATTAATTTATTTTTAATATTTGCCCAAGACAATGTATTCATAAGATGAGACTATACACAAGTAATTTTCCCATCTTGAAGCCTGAGTATTCGACAAACTCTCCATACAGATAGAAACATGTTTTCATGTGGTTCAAGACATCTATGCTCTTAAACAAAATAAAAAGGGACATACAAATCACATGATGGGAAAAAAAGCCTGACATGCTCACAGAGAAAAAAATAAACATCTTAAAAACAATGACGTTATAAAAAAACAAAACACAGAATGACAAGGGGGGGGGGGGGGGGGGGGGGGGAAATGATAGTCTTGGAAGTACACTGCGGTATAAAATAATATGCATTTCAAAACTTAAATTTCAAAAGAAGCACCTCGCACAACTATTTGAGTCTTTATCATGATACAAGACAGCTTTTCAAATGTTGGAAAGCACCCAGGACTAGGACATCTGTAAGTTTCTACAGATCGGCACTAATCACTAATCTCATTCATTCAAAAAATATTCATTATCACATTCCCTCTGGTCACCTCATAACTTTAGCTTTCAACTGAAATGGATGAAACCCCTCTCAGCGGCTGGGCTACAGACAACAAATAAATGCAAGAACATTGATATTCAATAGAAAAATATATTGCACTACTCTTTTCCTCAAATGAAATGCCAGGGTAAATGATTTATTATCTATTATGTCTGATTATCATTTGAAGGCCATCTAAAGCTAACTATTTCAAGAGTGTTACATGAGGACTGAGGATTAAATCCGTATATAACGAGGACACTTTTTGCATCAGTAAATTGATGTTTAAAACAGAAGAAAAGCATAACAATAAACAGTAATAGTATGATGAAGCACAAACAGTGGTATTCTTCAGCCTCGAGTAATCCATGCAGTCAATAGGGTTTGATACATACACGACTAATGTAAAGACATACATTCCAATTAGGTTAAAATTGATGGTAAAAAAAGTCAGGCACACACTCACAGGATAAACTGTGTACACATCTACAATTTGTTTTTGTTTTTTGCACTCGGCTGACTAAACCGTCATGTGTGTTTAAAGAGAACACAAATGGTCAGATTGAAAAGTAAACAACAAAAAGACCACGTAAAAAAATTCCAGGCTGACTTTTACTGAAATCAGCCAGCCAATCTCTCACCATACTTTCACTGCATCAGCAAACATTATGTCGAATACCAGTATCAGGCATAAAAATCTTTTCATACAAATGAAAAATACAATTGTCAGCCTGGAAAGCAACCAACCTCATCACAGCCAGTGTGTGGGACTGAAGTTGAACTGAACATTTATTTTTAGATAAAATTAACTTTTTCCTACATACTTTTCATCCAAATGTATACCTTCAACTGTCACTAATTAACAAGAAATGACTACAAACTTAAGAGCGAGTGTTTGACGTGTTGTTCATATTTACATACAAAGAGTGCCCAAGCATCTCTTAACAGGGAGCCTGCTGGGACTGGAGGGTTGACGGAGGCACTGGGCCGTGTCTTTGTGTGATTATCATTGGCTGTGAGGGGACGAGTGTATCTTAGTCTGGGGTGGGATTTGAGGGTGAGTTTCTCTTTTACATCACCAGTACTGCCTCAGAATGCCACTTCATACCGGCTACCTGCGTCAGCACATCATCTCTGGGCCGACTGTGACTGAGTTGCCATTACAACACCCCCCGGCTGGCCTGACCCCATGCCAGCCAAGACCGACATGGCCACCGCCTCTGCAGCACGGACGCTCAGCCCGTTGATGGTGGCAACTGGGCTGGAGGCCGAGGCGGTTGGTGACGGCCCGTGCTGAATGACCGCCGCTGGGGAGCCGATGGGTTCACTGGAAGTATCCCTGGAGGTTTCCTCTCCTCCTGCAGCTATAGACAGAGAAAGAAACATTCACCCTTAAGAGAGGTGAGCGAGTAAAAAGAACACATTAGATGGATGAGGTGATAGATGGATCCTGACGAAAGAAAAAGATACAGCGCAGGATTCTTGTTTGCAGCTCAATGGTTACCTAAGAAAGCTGCCTTTTTCTGCATAACAGTGACCGGGCAGTCTTTGTGGGCCAGGAGGAGCTGCTTCAGCTGTGCCACCTCGTTCCTCAGTAGGCCCACTTCATTCTGATGGCAACACAAAACATCCAAATCATTTGCATGACCAATCTCTGTTCATGTTTAAACATGGATCCTACACATCACCAGGGATGGGATTATATAGGATAAAAACACACAATAAGTTGAGCAAGGGGAATTTCCATCATCTTGAGTATCCTCATGAATGACCCCAAAAACGCTGTTTAGCTATTAATTATGAATTGAAAAAGGTTTCACACTTTTCCAAGCTGAATATGAACCCCGTTTAAATTCTGGATACAACCCTGGACTGGGAAGTGGACGACTTACCGAAAGAGACACATTCATGTTGACCAGATCATCTGCCTTTTTCTCCAAAGAGTTAACCCACACTTTTCGTTTTTGCCTGCAACGGGAGGCGGCCGCCCGATTTCTCTCCAGGAAGCGCTCCCTCCTCTCATCAGGGTCCATCTCTGAAGCTCGCCGCCGCCGGCCTCCTGTTGGCTGAGCAGGGGACACCTGGAAAATGGGGAGGGAGGTGCGGTGAGCAAAGACAAATAAAAAACCTAAGTAAATCCAAAAATCTCACTTCACCTTGTTTGGCAAATAACCTTTAATAAATATAAATTCAACTAAATAATCAAAACCATCAATTGTCTATCTCAACTGTCTATCTACAACACTGGCTCAATAAATAAAAATACTATTATAATATCATATTTTATATACTCCTTGTTTAGGCAAAGAAATGGCTTATTATTATGATATTATTATTATTAGATAGTCTTCTCAATAAAAGGTTCTCATGTGTATTACCTGGGGTTGGGCAGGTGATGGTGCGTCAGAGTTTTGAGATGGTTGTTGGCTCTGTTCCTGTCGCTGGGGGACAGCAGGGTTAGATCCTGCCCCCCCACCAGCTCCATCTTGTGCTCCTGGGCCCTGGTGAGTGAGAGCTGCCTTCAGCCTCTATAAAGACACACAAATAACATTCCATGAAGAACATTTAACTTTAAGCTCACCAAAAAGACGCAATATAGAGAAGCAATTGTCACATAATACAACAGCTTTTCAGGGCCTGCCGCCTACAAACTTATGCCAACATGAGTGACCATCTCACCATCTTGGCCTCGGAGTGCAGGCTATACCCAGACGGGGAGGATGAGCCGCTGCTGGCCCCGCCAACTGGAGGCCCTGGAATCCCAGGGATGTAAGGCACAGAGTTCAATGGCCTCGCAAGCTACAAATGACCACACATAGACGAGAGAGAAAGAGAGAAACAGACACAAAATTGTACATTTTAAGAAAGACAATTTTAATAGAATCCTTTTTTATACATTTGTGCCAAGTTTTGTAAAAAGCTTACAGATATAACGGAGGTCATCTGAGAGGGACTGGGCAGTAGAGGGATTGTTTGCCCATTGGGGAGGTGCCTCACCAGTGGAAAAGCACTTGTTGGGGATCTGTTGACAAGAACAGTAAATTCTCAAATTCTCCGTTCTGTGACAAAATACAGATTGAGAACCAGATTTACAAAGTATTTTATTTTTTCCACAATCTCTGTCTCTTAGTGCTAACTGTACCCAAAGAAAAAGCAGTTGGAGCAACATAATATGTGGGCGAGGTATCCTTTTGAGAGGGATTTTATTTGATCTCTCAAAAGTAGGCGTAACTTAGACCCCGTTTACACGAGGACGAAACGGGTTGTATCCGCATAGTTTCTCTTGCGTATAGCCCTTTCGTTTACACGAGGCCGTAACAAAACGATAGAAACGGACCCTGCAAACGATAGCGGGTCCCAAGGTGAATAGATCTGCAAACGGAACGCCCTGGGGGGGGCAAACGGCTCCGCGTGTAAGCCTCTATACGATCATTTTCTGATAACGATGAAATAGCCCCGCCTCCCTCTCCCCACGTCTCCTGCTCAGAGATCAGCTGCTGGGCTGTCAGAAGAGGGGGGGGAAAAGAGAGGCTCCGTTTATTATTATTATATAGAGTCGTTATCAATTTGTTTTAAAGCTCAATAAATAACAAAGAAGACCTCTGACGGGCACTTTTCTAATTTTGTACGGAAGATTTAAACTTTAACGGACATGTTGACCGGCGAAAAAAAATGTTTACGGAAACTGCCGCATGGTGCCCTCGTCCCTTGGAAGAGGCGGAGAGGTGGGTGTTTTTCATCTGCTGGTGGACTACCGGAGAGATTTACAGCAGGAGCACACGCCGTCCACAGCGGAGAATAAACAGAAGGGCAACCATGGCAACCATGCTCCAGGGTCTTCTTCGCTGCTTTTGGTGTATTTTGTGGCGGCAGCAGCGCCACTTACAGGCCTGGCATATGTACTACAGCGTTTCCAGCGTTTCCAGCGGTCTCGTGTGAACGGACACGTTAAATGAATCGAATGCGTGTGAACGGAAGACTTTTTTGAAAACGCATACGGTGCATAAACGCAAACGTTCCCGTGTAAATGGGGTCTTGCAGCAATATGGAGCTAAAGAGGACAGTTAGCCTCCACCCACACCTGTTTCCACTGCGCTTTTAGATCAGGAAGCAGAGAATGATGGAGAAATATATAAACTGTACCTCAAACAGACAAACACAGAAGTGGGAAAGATACAAAATTAAGCACACTTATTCCACTGTGTTGACAAATACATTTTCTGACCAAACCTCTCTAAAAGTAGACTATATCAATGTTCCCACATGCTAATATCAAACAGCACTCCAAGACAGTGTACAGTTTCCCTGGAACAACCTCAATTTTAGGATGTTGAGCAAATACAGTCGTAGGCCTCAAGAAATGTGAACACTGCAGATTACCCGAGCTGTCTGTTGGAGGGCGGTGTTTGAGTGATGACAGACGTTGGAGATGGCATAGTGGGGTTTAGCGCGTCATTGCTAAGGTGAAGTGGAAGAGAACCTGGGCGCACAATGGTTGGAGTGGGGGTAGAGCTGGCAACCAGCTTCGTTAGAATCTCCTGGGGAGAAATATAATAATACCATGACTGCATGAATAGAGAACAAATTATTGATTTTCAAATGGCAACTCATGAACAAGAGCAAATTCATGAACCAGCGTGCTATCAGCATGCAATAACACTTTGGGACTGTACCTTTCCTCCTCTCATGCTCGAGTCTCTGCTGTTGTCTGACATGCTGGAGGAGGAATCCGGACTTCCAGGAGAGGAGGAATCCACTTGTAAAGGAACATCATCCTCAACTTTTACCTCAGATGGTGTTTGTAAAGGTGCAGCCTGAATAGAGCAGGAGATGAATATACCCTTTCAGTTAATGTAAAATAATAAAATAGTCTCACTATTTTTATGTTATACGGAAAACAACAGTGTTTTAATCATTCACCCTTCTATTCCTCTGGTCGTCCTCGTGTGCTTTGGAAAACTCATGTTCAAAGGAGGTCGCTAGCTCATTGAAAAGCCCAACCTCCTCACAGTTCTTTAGGAAACGTGTGGGTGTGGGTGTCTGATCTGCAAAAAATGGATCAGAGAAACAAAGAATAGATCATGTAAGTTCAGGGGGTTACAGGACATAAATTGCTCCCTACCAACAGACATCACCGTAGTAAATTGATACAGGTCTTCAGAACATTGAGAAGTTGATAACACTTCAGTTCAGCTTAATGTAAGAAATTCTTAAGTAAATGATATTGGAATTACCTGCAATGATAACAGTGTCTGTTCTGGCAGGACCAAATTTTAATGTCATTTCATGCTTGTGTTTGTGGACTGACAGGTGGTCTTCATTGGTGAATCTCTGCAAAGAAAATAACACAGCATATACATTTAGATATACAATAGTATAAAATGTAAAAAAGAAAAGCATAGCATTAGTAGTACTACTACTACTGTGTTGCTGACAGGTGACCAATAATTCATCAAAAGCTCTTTTTTATAGATGATGCAAGATGAACAATAACACTTGCTTTAGTGCAGATGGTCCACAGTGAAGTAGGGAATGATCCCTGACTACTTTGGCATTTGTACAGTACATTAACTGTTAAGTTAGCTGTTAGATAAATTGCAATGAGCCCATGTAGTAATAAGAAACAGGCGATGATGTGTTTAAGATTTTCAAGTTGGAGGCTTAGAGGTGTCAAATGTAAATAGAGTGAAAGAGGGTGTTATAAAGAGATGCATATTAATCGATGCGTTCAGAATTCATACCTGCCCACATCCAGGGGCAGTGCATACAAAAGGTCGATCATCCCCCATCTCAGACAAATGTTCTGCAAAAGAGAGCAAGAAAATAGCAACTTGTTATTGTCTGTATCATTGTATACATATGGAGCATTACAGCTGCTGATGCTCAAGTTAGGCACAAAGCTGTTCATTTCTGGTAATGTTTAAAAGCAATTGAATGTCAATAGTGTAACCAGAATATACTCAAAGTCTGACTATTATTTATGTTAGCTTGTGTTTTGAACATGCTAATGTCTCACACTACAACATCAGACTATATAGCATGACTGCCATTCACCTGTTGAGAACTACAATCTGTTTTGCGCCATGAATTGCATGTGCTCTCCTGTCACTAAAGAAAACACCCTAGTGACAACTGGTTAGGAGGTAAACAGGCCGGAGACTGTCGGCCTGAAGGAACATAGGTTCGCTCTTTCAGGAAATCAGGGACTAACGCCAAACGGGAGCGACAAGGCAGCAGAGCCAAAGCAAGCTACTATGCAATCCACCCCCACAGTGTCATCAAGCCATTGGCGCTAGCTGGCTCTCACTCGAGGTCGTTCCGCTGTGTAGCTAGCTAGGTGGCTTAGGTTACGGACTGTAGATAGGTTAACCTAAGTACCAATTCTTCCGTTAGCCCCTACTTTATGAGAGACGGGCCTTTAGCTAGCATAACCCTATCGCTAACCACACCAATATATTTGATTACTGAAACCTGACAGCCGTGTCTTTATGAAGAACGTGGAAGCTTACATCATGGAAACTAATAACCTATAAAGGACGAACGGATTCGCCCCTCCAAGCGAAACGTGTGGTGTAGATAACAGTCACAACACAGCAAGCTAAGCTAATGCTAACTGCTAACTGAAGCCGTTCACACTGGTCCGCCAAGTTAGTAGCTAACCGTTAGCACGCTAAAGCTAAACAAGCTGTGCTCATAAACTGAGCTACGATCGCCCCAAAACATCAGGTTTCATGCAAATTGACTGAATTAACTTCGCAAAATACCACATTTTACGTTGGATGATCATAAATGTGAGTAAACTCACCGACGTTTAAATATCCTCTGGACTCCCTCCTCCCTGCTCCGGACAGTATGCTGCTGCTTGTTGACACTCTGACACTTCCATTAGCAAAACAGCGCGAGAGTTGGAACATGGCAGAGTGTTACGTAACAAGATTGACGTGAGGAGGAAACGTGAAGGTTTATCCACCAATATTTTAACTAAAATATTTGTATTATTTTTATGTTAATATACTATTAACTATTATTTGGCCTTTGTTTAAATGCTATTTGTTGTCAAGCATCACTGAACTCTCTACAAACTCACTCAATAGTCTAAAACCAAATATGCTTAGAACCACAACAGTTACATAAAGTTTGTCTATTTCCGGATAATTACTTGGCAGATGTCATGTAGAAATCCTTTGACACTGCTTTTCTGGTGTGGCAGGACAGTGACAATGGGCATGTCTGTCCTGGCAGTTTTGCCTATTAAAAGAAAAACAATTCCAGTTTTAAATAGAAGAAAACAAGCCGGTCACCAATTAGGTGTCTGGTATTTATGATATTCATATCCAATGTATGTGAAACTTCAATCGCATCTGCTTCAACAACATAATGTGGTGCAAACATACAACGTACAAGACACGGCTGTTTTAAAAATAAATCTTTATTTTCATACCTTAGGCTTAGCAATAACATATTCACTTATTAAACCAGTGTGTACTTGGCTGTAATTTGTTTCATTGTGAGTAACAAGCAGTATTCTATAATAGGCCTAAAACTGCACTGACAAGCTAACAAAATCAACTGTATCATAGACATATGATGAACAGGCATGCACGCACACACACACATTAAGCTGAACTCCAACCAGCCCCAGCCCTGCAGCTGCAGCCACAATAAACTGAGATTAACATTGGGGAGGACCTAGTGTACCCAAGTGTCATACACTGATAATGCAGGATCTTTACAACCAATTAACCAGCCTTGTTTAGTCTGACAAATTGATGTGTTCACAATTCTTGCACTCTTTATACTGTAATTAAACACTGTTAAAAAGGCACTGGGGGTTTGCTTTGATATTATTGTTCCATGTAGTTTGAAGAAGCAATATCTTTCATACACATTTACAAGGACATGACATTTTAACTGCTGATTACAAGACACGATAATTTACATTGCAGTCCCTACAAGCTGAGAACTTTAAAAAAAAAAAAAAACACGATTAGAACTCCAAAAAGAAATGTTTTTAACCCCCGATGCTGAAAATCTGTAATTCCTTATCCTTACTCATCTGTTGTTCATTTCCATGTACAACATCACAGACTATTTGTTGAAATGAAAACACAAAATCGAAAGACATTTAAGCTTAAGTTGAGCATTTCTATGAAACAAGTTTCCTACTTCTATATATCCATCTCAGATGTCCATATCCAAGTATCTTTTCTCAGATCAATCTACACACACATTTACCAATATTACACTTAAATTCAATAACATGAGGAAAACATGACTTGATAGAAAATTAAACACGTCAGCAGAAAAAAAAAAAGGAAATTAACCCAAAAATAAATCTGTATATACACACACACAAGCTCAAGGCAAGCTGATACATAGACATTTACAAAATCAAACTCAAGTGTATCTTTTTGCCAAAAGGACTACATTCATTTGAAGTCTCATCTATTAAATCAAAACAGATGATGCAGGCACTCAATGTCCCCAAATCAAGTTTAGACACTGGCCATGGCATCAACATTAAAACAGTTCATCAACAGGAAGCCAAAACTCAAATTCAATTTGTCATCCTGAGATCCTTAGATCATCCAATTTGTTTTAGTAATTATCATGCAAATGCTAGTCGCAGATTAAAAAACAGCTCATACTTCATGATTTACCATCCTACTCTAAAAATAAATCAAGATAATCAAAATTAAGAACTAGCTAGAACAGAATCTGGGCCTTAAACCAAAATCAGCCACCGAACCCTGTAATCTAGCTTTCAGAGACACACAACAGCATTACTGACATTAGATAAAAACATTAAGACATTCATTCTGCTTACATCTAATAATCCTCAGAAACAGTAGGTCATTAGGATGATCACTAACTCATGAATATTCAAAAATACAATTTTTACAAGAAAGGGTTGAAAACACTAGTTAAATCACAAATTAAATCCTGTAGAAAAAGTAAAGAAGCAGCCCTACTACAGGGCTTAGTTCAAATGTCAGTGGTTTTGATATAATATCTGCATCGCAAAAATCTAATCATTTACACACCACAATTTTCTGAATCCATGTACGTTTGTTTTCACAAGCATTATTTGTGGATCGACAAACAGTATTCAGTATTCAACTACTCATAAATTCAAAGTTAAAATCAGTAGTGAACCGCAGTCCTGTTTCTACGATTCCGTCATGGATTAAATTCTCTATTCTATAAATAATCATAGATCCTTGATTTCAACGCAAAACAAATATGACAAGAAAGCTCAAGATGAATATGCCAACAATAAACATGCGGAGAAAAAAATGTGCCGTAATCATTTTGGGTGTTGGCAGAGCTTTTTAGATGTTAGACTACCTTATATTTTAAAAGTAACAGGATCCATCTCTCTCCTAAAACACAAACACACACAATACAGATCTTCTGAGAACTTCATTGTGATATAATTTGAAGCACAGTATTTTTTTTTTGTATCCATTCTGTCAGCAGAATAGATGCATTTAACCTCAAAAAGGTACAACTACTAAGTCTTTCTTAATAATTTCAGGTCTGCAACTAGATTAATTGAAAAAGTCTGTCAAATGAAATATATTCATCTGTGTATTTACATATATTATATATTTACATATATCGTTTTAGTTTCTGTTAAAGTCCATGTTTATAGGTTCCCTTTTCTTTAGTTATTTTGGTGACCTTGGGGGAATGTTCTGTTCTTTGCCACTGCGTCTGGCGGCTCCCCGCTGTGGGGAGAAAGGTTTGCCAGCATTACTCAAGCCTCTCTGATTCTCCCGCGTCTTCAGCCCTCCAGGTCGTACTTGGCCATTCGCCCCTCTGAAGGAGCGCAGTGGTTGACGAGGGGGGCGGCTGTCTCCGTGTTTCTCTCGGTTTTCTGTAGTGCGCCTGGAGTTGGGCCGATGCTCCTCGACTCTATTGACCTTGAGCTCCTGCAGGGGTTGGCCGGCGGAGGAGGCAGGGGGGGAGGGAGAGGGCGTCTGTGCTGCTGGTGGGTCCTTGGCCATTCTCTGGCAAACCTCTGCATAGCTCAGCTTTTTTGCCCCCTGGTAAGAACACAATGGGCAATCATTTAAAATTAAGATATAAAACAAACAAACAACACCAAACGTACCACATATCAGAGTTTCCGTTAGCCGGTAATTACCGGACTTTGACTGGTAAAATATGCTAATATCTAAAACTCTCCGGTCAAAATAATTTCCCCTTAGCGCAATACCGCATCAGTTGCGCCACTTATGTGACAAACAAGAAGAGTATGTGACAGACAAGAATAGTCAATTCTAATGTCTACCACTTAATGTGGAGAAAGAGATGTCCTGTATGGGTTGATTGTGCGTTGATCTGTTGGTAATGCCTCGGGGTTCCGGTGGGCATGTAAACAAATGCATAATGCTGCGCTATACTTTGTGGCCTCACCCGGTTGCATAGCGACGCTTATTGTTTAGGTGTCTTTTAATAAGCAGGTAGTCATATCATTAGCTAGAACTAGCTAGATCTGATCGATATGGACATAAACGCGAGTGAAGTCTAATCTGACGGGAGAGAGACCAGCTGCTGCTGCTGACGAGTCGACACGCAGCTCTACATGATCACCTGCAGCGGTGAGCGGAGCAAAACACAAACTTCAGGTTAGAAAATCACACTTAGCTATTTTAATTACCTCTCAAACTAGCTAGATATGTTTATTTTTACTGTCGGGTCACTCATTACTGGATCCGCATGATACTGACGGGCCGTCAGGAGAGGGAGAGAGCGCTCCGTTTATTATTCCTGTGTTATTATAAGTTACTGTACACTTGTGAATAATGTAGTTAATCAACTATAATTAGTTTGTTTAACCTGTTAAGCCCTGAGCCTGTTTATCAGGTCTCAGGCTCGAAAATGACATTCCCAAAACAAATGACAATAGCCGCTTTCACACCAAGTACTTTGCCGTACTTAGTGCCCAGCACTTAGTGCCAGCACTTAGTACCCCCATGGAACTAAGTACAGATCGCGTGCACACCGGAATAAGTTCCCAGAGGGAAGATTACGCAAATTAAGCCGCTGACGTCACTTCTTCTTCTTCGGGTTTACCGGCAGGCCGCAAACCACTTCACGGCGTATACTGCCACCCGAAGTTCCCGGCCAGAAGTCCCTGGAGTTGGGGACTGGCTTCAGTAGAAGCTGCTGGGACTCCCAGCAGCTTCTACTGAAGCCTTCCGAGTAAATCGCCAGAACGCCGACACCTCCTCATCACTTCACCGCTCCCATGTTTTTGTTTGTGTTGCCATAAGTTATTCTCTCTCCGTTGGTGCGCGGGGCTAATGCTAATGCTAATAATGCAAATACAATGGCGTTCTACGGGGCGTGGTTTGCAATTCGCCCAGCCAATCGAAATTGGTACTTTTTTCTCCCCAGGATAGTACCACCTCTCTAGCAGGAACTAAAAATGGGGGTAAAAGTTCTCGGAACTAAGTACTCTTTTTGGTGTGAACGCAAAATTCCAGGCACTAACGGAACTAAACGGGAAAAGTACGGGTAAAAGTACTCCGGTGTGAACGCGCCTTATAACTTCACTTCTAAAAAGGCGTAAATTAATCATCTTTTTTCTCAAAGCAATAATAAACCTGTGAGTTGGATGTAGAAAATCAATATAGATTTTTTTAATTTTAAAGTAAATTCAGATTGAACATAGTAAAAAAATGTAAATTAGTGTCCGTCCAAAAAAACTAAATTACTTATAGTGAAAACCACCCTTGAATGATGGGATAGTAGAGTAAAAGCTTTAGGAGTCCAACCTATAACATATAATAAGTAACCTGTATCAAGATTGATGCAAAACAAGTGACATTTGACCTTTTTAGAGAAATTTAGAAGGAAAAAAACCACTTCTGGGGTCATTTGGGTGGATTTTCCATATCTCTGGCCCCCCTCGTTCGATTTTGATGATTGACACCTCTTTTTAACCGTTAGAGCCAATAGAATCGAGGGGGGGTTCCTAAATCCATCAAAACATTACCCATTGGTGAATGAGTGCTGCGCAGCCAGAATGCCCCGGAACCGGAAGCTGCGATACACTCTGGTGGCTATCATTAGCAGCTAATATGAAATCTCCGTTTTTGACATAAAAATGGAATGATGGATTATCAGTAATCATTTCAAAGTGACACAGACACATTAGATTAACCTATGGATTAACCTTCAGCAGCGTTTTTATCGTTTTAATGCCATTGAACACGACTTTTGATCAAAATAACAGCTAAGGTGAGACGATCTCCCGTGAATGCTCCGTAATGCTACGTGTTGTGACGTCTGTGTTTGCTTCGCTGTCGCGAGTTCTGATCGCTCAGTGATGATACTAATACCTATAGAATCTGTGGAATCTCAGCTTTAATCTGATATCTTGTATGTGCAGTTACGATAAGTTATAAGGGTATTCTTACCTTGAGTTCTGTGCTAAGTGCGTTAGCATTTTTTCGCTCAGGGCTCATTTAGACGCTTCTTGTGAGACTTGTGTTTTGTTTCGGTAAAAATGGTTCGTATTGTCAGTTAGCTGAGTTTCTTCCCGTTAAATGGGTATGACACATTAATACGTTTTTAAATATTAAGAAGCCCTGAGACACAGTTTTGTGAAAAAACACCCCACAGCCCCCTGTACAGGGGGCTCTCAGGCTTAACAGGTTAATATCGAATCATATCAATTTGTTTAGAAAAATTCTAACGGAAACTCTGCCACATATGTAATAAAAACAGGACTAGTTGAAGTATTAAATGACTCCATTTACAAATGACCACTTACATCAATGGCAGAGAAGTAAATTATGCTGCATTGATATTTCGAGAAGTCATTTTTTTTTTTTTAAACATCTGACTTGTTTTCTACCTCTATTCTAACATAAGAATATCAACTGTTTATGTAATTTCCTACAATAATCAAATCTAAGAGGGTCTTGGAATGACCCATAAGCTGAGGTTGCTGTGAGCTAATGACACAAAAGGCAGGCCTTACCAGATCTGATGTTGGAGATGTTGGAGGAGATGGGGAAGGGACCTCTGTAGCGTCAGACTGGCTGCAGGAGGGGGGAGCCGGTTCAGAGGCTGTTGGGGAGGCAGGCTGCACCGAAGGGGAGACCGTTTCCTTTGGAATAGGAGGCTCAGCTTTTTCCTCTTCGTCTACCGTAGGAGAAACACTAAACAAAAAAACCGTAAAAGGTGAGTAATTTTCCTGGTATATGACCCTATGTCTATAACATTTTAGCTTGGAGTAAACTTTACCTTAAGACTGGAGGTGCCATTGCGAGCGGTGTCACAGGAGCAGGTTTAGCAGCCGGAGTAACAGGCTCTGGCGTGACGGCAGCATCTTCAGACTTGTTTGTGAGACGAGTCTCGTTAACCTCTTGGCTCACAGGCTAAAACCACAAAGAAGTTTAAATTATGTGCATTCATACAATTGTGATATAAACGCTACGTATACGAGTCATCAGAGTAAAAGGTATCAAGGAAGACAATCTTTTTACCTTGTTGGTCACCTTTAGGCCGCGCACAACATCAGAAAGGCGCACCTCTGGCATGGCATCTCCCCGCATGCTAACCACAGACCCCGGCAGAGGAGGGAAGCTCGAAGCCTCAAGGTCAAACTTCGGTGCAGGCTGTGCCTTGGCCTCCATCACAGGGACAGGCTTCTGTCATTAAAATACAGTTTCAGTAAAACGTGAAGTTTGCAATAAAAATACTATTATACCTGAAAAACGTTTGAATAGGAGATACCATCAGGACCTCATCGGTCTACACAGGAAAATCTACTTTAAAAATAAAGGGGTAAAAGAGGAAATTTGCTGACCAGGGAATGTTCATCTTCTCTTCTTCTCCTCATGCCTCTGTTGATACCTCTCCTAGAATAAAAAACATTATTATACATTAGATGGGTATTCATATCAATGTAACATTAACATTCAATAAACAACACGCAATGCAATGAGTGGAATTTTCCTGAAACTGACTATGAAAGCAAAAAAAGAGTTGGATTTACTATGTGGAGTCTAGACAATATAAAATGTCACGGTGAACAGAGAGTGACAGGACATGATACAAAAACTGAAATTATTCACAACACATAACATACACCTCAATACGCATTAGTTAGTCAAATTTTGGTTGCAAATCTTTATCTTCATAGTGTTAATAAGCAAGATAATATTTCCTCACCGGCCCCGGGCAGCTCCGTTCAGATACCCATTGGGTATGGAGGCGTGTGGAGAAAGGTCTTTGAAGCTGAAGGAGGGTACAGCGGCTGTTGTTGAAGCGGTGCCAGTCAGCGCTCCTGAGGTCTCACTGGGCTGTGGACTCAAGGGACCAGACAGACCGTCCATCAGGCTCACAAGAGGGGGCATGTCTCCGGGCCTTGGGTTGCCCTTAACATGATTTCTAGGAATCACAAGAGACACATATTTCTTATTACCGACTTCTACCATGAAGAAGCAGAATTAACCTCCTTCAGCTCTACTCTGAAAGAACACGTTATCATGTCATCGTGACTTGCACCTACCGGTTCCTGCTCATGGGTCGTGTGGTGTTGATAGAGCTGGAGTTTGCTTCGTAGTTCCCAGGATTGTTGTAACCATTTATGAATCTGCTGTGCGGGAAAGGGGCCTGGATAATCAGAAAAGCAGTAAGAGATCAAATTAGAGAAAATACTACCTGCAAAATGTATTTCATGGAATTTTTTTGATTGTGTAAATAGTTATAACAAATACATTTCCAAAGATCTGACTTCAAAATGACAGTACGAGCATGAGGTCTAAAACCACCAGACTGACAGTTTCATCCCATAGGCCATAAGAATGTTAAACACCTGAACTTTTGAAAGAACATAGATAACATTCATCCGTTTGCAACTCACATATATCATATATATCAATATTCCAATGACTGTATATAGACTATTCTGCACAGTTTCTATCACATTCTGTTTCTATTATATTCGATTTTATTTACTTGTACTATTTTATCTGTTTTATTGTATTGCACTGTTGGAGGAGCCTGTGACCTAAGATTTTCATTGTCATAACTACACTGTAGCTATGCACACATGACAATAAAAGCCTTGAAACATGACATTATTGTTACCAAGAATAATCACATTGGTATAATTGTACACATACAAAGGATGTTAAATCAAGCAGTCATGTTATTCTAATAAGTATAAAATATCCAGACTTATAGCTTATATGGCCACAAAGTCTGAACACAGAGATATTATTAATCAGTTAAAGGACTGGGGCTGAGAATATCGTTGTATCAAAAATCACATTAACTGCAATGAACACTCACTGCTATAAGTACCTTGACACAATTAATTTGTTCTTGACATTTCCCTTTTTTTAGATATACTGAACAACACATTCAGGTTCTCACCAGTGGTGTTTCAAAATAAGGCATGACGGAGGGGTTCCAGGTTGGAGAGACCACCGGGTACACGGGGTACTGCTGCTGAGCGCTGTATGGCTGCTGCATGTAGACCGGGGAGGCATACTGAGCCTGGGGCTGGGCATGCTGACTGTACACACTGGAGTCCACACTGCGGAAGGCGTTCTTACCAAAGAATGTGTTAATGGCCTTAATGCGAGCCTGGGGACAGAGAGACAGAGAAAGATAAAAAAAATGTAAAAAGAGATAATCATATGTTTGCCAAGAGTAAATATGTTTGACGCATCTAGTGTATGAGAAGCTTTGAAGATCTGTCCTTTAGTCCCCTTAGATCTCATAATCTCAGTCATTAGGTCATACAACGCTGCACTGACTAGGGGAAAGAAAGGGGGGGGGCAGGGAGATACAGAAGAAAAGTTCCTCCCAGCCAGCCACAGTGCATATGGGTCAATCCAAGCACGATACTGATCATCACCTGGGTTAAGACAGGACCGTTATTAAGTCATAGCCTCAATTGTTTTTATCAGAGGCACTGAAGGTCAATTCAAAGTCCAGCTGAAAAAGGATGTATTAGATAACGGAAACACAAGTGTAAATGTCACATTGTGATAAGAATGGATTATCAACCTCTCTGGAAATACTAGGTGTGTAAGGGTTCTGAGAAACACCTCCTTGCTTATCAAGTTCCTTTGCACACAAATCCCAAGGTCACTCCCGAGGCTACGGCTTAACCAGAGAGTAGCGACGGCTGACAACACAAGTCTAATCTTGTGAAACACAGGGCTTGCTGGGTTCCATACTAGCGTCTTAAACGGAACCAATTATAAACAGTGTTAAAGTCTGAAACAAATATTTAACTGAGTAGCGTACTGAAGTCAATCACAGGTAATTCATTGCAGTGACAATACTCACCATGATCGGTTTTCCCAGGAACGTTTTTACTTCCTCTCTGAGGTACCTGTAAGCCTGAGGACAAAAGGAAACGGAACAAAATGTTCAAAGTTCTTGTTTTCTTTTAGATCTGGGAAATAAAAGACAGTAGTGCCCTTCACTGTCAGGGTACTGGTGTATTTTTAGTTATTGTAACTGTAAACTTGTTACTTGGACATAAGTAAATGAAGTTACTGTAATAAGTCAAACATCTTTTACTACACCAAGGTCAAGTAAGACGCTTTTGGTTGCAAAAAATAATAGAATCAGATCACGTATAGTGATTAGTTCTACTGTAAACGTTATTAAAGAGCTATGTATGGCATACTAATAGTCTTTATAAATGTGGAGACTTACCTGTTGTGCATCCATGTCTGACTGAAATGTTATGTACCAGTTGCTGTTGTGTGCAAACTCAGCACTCAACACTTTAGGACAGTTTTCACCCTTAAAGAGAGCCTCCACTTCCTGTGGAAGAGATGCAAGGCACATATATTACATGTCTCCCTCCAACACTGAATTCACACAAAATGTCCCATCGGGTTACCCAGAAGGCTCTGAGATCATAAGTTATCAATGAGCCATGATATATAAACACTACAACAGATAAATCCCTATAGTTTAATATCAAAATGCAGTGAGGCTGGTAATGCACATCACGGTCTACACCCGTGACTGACTTCTTGTCAGCAGATTTGTGTGATCCCGTTGTGGACAAGCAAGAGCATGTTGGTGCAGTTTGAAGGATTTACTGCACAGTAAGATGGGCGGGTCTTTACCTCAACTGGAGTAGTCTCTGGCACCTCTCTCAGAATAATGATGCAGCGACTGTGGTTTGGGCGAACCTTCTCTCCAGTTTCATCAACTTGCACAATGGGAGAGGCTGTAACAGAGGAGAGACTTTAATACACGTGTCTCACCATCTGGAAGTAACACCTACACAGTATACTGTTGCAGACTAGGCTTCTCTCTCTGGTATATATATATCGGCATAAATTCATTTTTTAACTTGGTTTGTGCCAGGGGCTTTACTTTTACATTTATAAAGCACCTTTAAAAAATGTTACTCAAAGACACTTTACAGATACATGTTAAAACTAAATAACAAAAACAACAATATTAGTTACACATGAGAGCAGCTCCGAGTGGGAAGAGTTTGGCAGGTTAAAATATAAACTGTTTTTGTTCCGCCACCTCTGTAAAGTATTCTTTCTGGGTTGGACATATAGGTAGGATGTATCCCCACACAAAGAAAGACTTCTTTAGTGGCTCTGCAACTCTAAAGGTCAAGCTAAAGACATCAGACAGATAAAAGGCCCAAAGAAAATCCCCATCCATCAGCAGAAACCCACTGTGGTGTCAACATCATGTTGTGGGATCTTAGCAGTGACTCGCTCTATTTAATTGGTAACTAAAGTGGATCATTACACCATCTCATCTGTTGTGAACAGTCTACAACGTGACCAATCTAAACAGAAGTCTCACACATTGTGTGTATATATACACTTTGGTCAAAAATACTGTTCAGTGTTTCTATTCAATTACTCTTGTTGAGAAAAACCCTAAACACTGAAGTTGTTAAGTGTTTTAAGTGGGACAGGGAACCACCACAACTAACAAAAGCACCCAAAACATGCATTGTTCTCCCCATTTCACCTATGTTTTCTAATAAAATAAGTCCATTTAAGTAGAGAATGTTTTTTAAGTTTTGTATGGATTCAATCCATAAACGTAAGTATAAATGAATCTGCGAGAATTCCTCACAAATACAGGCAGAACCACAGTACTGGTACCTCGCAGTATTTCCAGGATTAGGTCCACGTCAGTGGTGAGGGCTTTGATGTCCTCCATGCAAGCAATGGTCCAGATGGGAACAAACTGATCACTGTCCATCTGGGATATTAGGTACAGGTCCTTAGATAGGTTCTCTCTGCAAACAGTCAAAACAACATACAATTTAACTATATTCAAGGGCAAATATCTATGTGTGGTATAAAGGGGACTTTGAACATTGCTTCAGTACTCACCTTGAAAAGCAGAACTCGAGCTGTTTCTTTAAAGACTCTCTGAGGCTCTCCTCAGACATTGGTTCTTCCTTACAAGCATCACCATCTACGGTTGATTCGCATTGTGGGTCAAAGGCTAAATATGCCAAGTCAGGGTTGTCAGTGCCATTAACAATGCCCTCTGTAGGTACAGAGGCAAAGTCAGCAGTGCTGTCAGGATATTCACCGTCACATCCTTTTCCCCCTGAAGAGGGAACGTCTGAGTAACCTAAGATAGGAGGCAAGCAGGAACAATGTTTGTGAAATAACTGCCATGTTAAGATAACAGCATCTATTGCTCTAAACAAACGTTGTCATGCTTCGTCTTTGTTGCATAACCACAACGGTTTCCTTAAATGCCATGTTTATCTGTGATAGGCTTTGTGATCAATAATACTATACATGTCTACGTGTCACATGGTCTTTCTCCAGACGTTAGTGCTGGGTCCACATTTACTGTATGTAAGGGGAAGATGGAGATAAACTAAAGTTCTCTGCACACAGAACTAAAAGAGCTCATACCGTCGGCCATCTCAGCGGGAGGAGGGTAGGTCAGCAGCCACGGAGCATCCTCGGTCCCCTCCGGGACGTCGCTCTGGCTGGCTGGGATCTCCTGCCACACTTTAGCATTGGGGTTCAGACCGGCTCCCTTTGTGGTAACCTGCATGATTATAAGCATGAGTAAACATCAATAAACATTGAGTCACAGAAAAAAGTTTGGGACACCTTTCACAGAACGTTACAAATAAACATAGCTGTTAGAGACGGATGCAGTGTTTCGATCATCTTCTTGTTTTAAAAAAACAGTAATATTTCACATGATGGTATGTAATACACTGTCATTTGGAAAGAATGGTACTCAAACTGTACTATGTTTCCTAACGTGGATTAAGGACTTGGAAACTCATTCATTTTGGATATTTAAATCTGGATCAACTTGTGAACAGAGATTTTAAAAGCAAATACAAATGACAAAAAACAAATACACATCAATGCTGACCATGACGGTAACAATGTTTTCACAGAAAAGGGGCTTGTTTTTTTGTTTGGATTTTACAAAAATAATGCATCCAACCCATGTCAATATATAAATGAAAGGCCAAAAAGGACCTCAGGAAAAAAACAGTATTCTATTACCAAGTAATGAAAATGGTATGAAAGCAGTTTTTACACGTCGCAAGCCATTCACCCATTCGTTTAAGTCACAACTGCTAACATCATGCCTCAAAATAACAGCTTTAGGACTGACTCCATTACTCTAATATATATTATAGCCAATCCAATGAATGAAGCAGATTCTTCACAGATCCCTTAAACTAGTTTTCCGCCTTTACAAGGGCTCAGCTCTTCACACACAAACCATCTGACTGGGTTTTCATTGGCTCCCTCATTACTCTGGCCTCGCCTCTCCAACGGTCACATGTTACCATACATGGCGCAGCTCTGCCTCACAAGCCTAGCAGCGTGACTTGAACAAGGCGTTTTGACCTGTCATCATTTGCAAAACCTTGAGTGTGTTGTGTCATTTCTATTAAACCAATACACGAATCTAAGTTTCAAAACATCCTGCACTCCAACATAAGGTTATAACTCAGCGTTTCTGGGTTTGCATTGAAGCACAGAAGCGTTGCTCTGAGGATCGGGAAGAAAGAGCACATGGTGCCCCCGCAACCACACAGCCATATGCGACGAAATGCAAGATCCTTTCTCTTAAGGTCGGATATTATAAAGCTGCATCCAAACAAAAGTAGTTTGTGGTTAAATGGGTATCAAATCATCTTTGCATTCTTCTTTCAAAGTGAACGTATCCGCGTCGTTTTGCCATGACCTTTATCGCGAAACTCTTTGATAGCTTATTAGCAGCTAACATTTAACACAAATCACCCGTAGTAGTCGCCAAACATGAAACGTAAATGAATTAAACAACACATTTAGCATAACGTGAAATAAGGCGAAGTGTCAATTTTCCCCATTCATTTTTTTATCTAAAACACGTGTTGGGTGGGTAAGCTTGTTTGTTGCGCAGTCCTGCCATATTGTGACTGGCGACTCCATAAATACCTTCGTTTAGCTTACTAGCTTAAGTTTACTAGTAGACCGTTAATATTATAACCGCATTACTTTACACCCCTGAGCTTATTTGTTTTAGAGGCTGACAGTAACGCCTGGTTAACTGTCCGTGTAAATAATGAAAGTCGTGGTGCATAACATGATATTATTTCCAGTTTTAGAGTGAAGTTACTACAATTAGGTCGAGCTACAAACGGGAAGAAGGACGCAAACAGGTTGTCGCATGTTAGCTAACGTTGCCTCTTCCAGGCCCAAAACTCACCATGCTGCTTCGATCCTCGCTTTCTTACAATGTCCTCCTCAGCTCCAGCAGATCTAATCCCGTGTTGGTTTTATTCTCTGCGACGAAGGTTCAAAAAAAATTACTGGCCCCACGTATTTAGAGCTTAGTCGTCCGTCGTCTCAACTACCGTCTCCCCGGTAACGTTATTCAAACGACCGAACGTGCTCCAGTCCAAACAGTGCGTACGTGCGGTCCACAACTTTGAAATATTCTAACGGATGATGACTGGTTTCACGTTAACAGAAAAAGCGTTTCCCCATTTAAAGAATTATGTTCTTTAAGATCTCTCCCTCATCCCGTAGGTCAGCTCCAAGGCACCGAACATCCAGCATGTGACAGCTGCGTCCTCTGTCTGCCCCCGTCCGTCCCGACCAACAGGCTGCACTCCGCCTCCACCTTACACCCGGCAACAGCGAAGCTAACGCGGCGTAGCAACTGTGACCCTATGTGAGGTCACCGCTGCAGTCGAGGCGATGCCTTCACAGACCTTGTGAATGATATGTAATATTACTTAGTGGTGCAAGAAGTATTCGGATTCTTTACGACAGTAAAAGTAGGAAAACCAGATTGGAAATAATCCACTGCAAATTAATGCGAATAAAAAGTTAAATGATGTAAAATGTACTTTAAAGTATGATTATAAAACATATTCTAATGCTGAAATACCCCTTTTGTTTTGTTTTGCTGTAGTTGGTTCAGGTGGAGCTACTTCGATCCATTTTAAATCCTTTTGATTGTTTGACAGACGAAAAATATAATGCTTTGTTTTTATGATTTATGGATGGATCATGTTTTGTATGTAGAAATCTAAGTCTGAAAAGTAACTAGTTACAAAAGCTGTGAGATGATTGTGGTGGAGTAAAATGTAGAACATTTCCTCTTGATGTGTTGTTTAGTAAATTGAAATACAAGTAAAGTTCAAGTGACTCAATTTGTACTTAAGTAGAGTACTAACATTTATTTAGTTAGTGTTCAATCCTGGTGATTAGACTAATACCCAACATTGGAAGAAGTATTCATAAATGTTACTGTAAAGTGTAGAGTAAAATAAAAAATAAATACTTATGTACAGTACTTAAAGGTAGGGTAGGTAAGTTTGAGAAACCGGCTCGAGATACACTTTTTGTTATATTCCATGGAATGCTCTTAACATCCCGATAGCAATGAATATCTTAAGTGCTTTGACAAAAAATCCATTAAAAAATGTCATCTGTGGAAGCCGTAATACTGTAAAAAGCACGACCAATCATTTTAGCCGGCCTGGCTAAAATAACTGGATGGCCTACCTGCCTGTCAGCCTTCCATCTGTGCACAAACTTATCTCGTGCCCTCATTGGTCATGTGCGCGTTCGTGTGTGTTGGAGGAGGGGCTCTATAAGGAAGTGGCAGATTTTCTCCGGTTGTGTATTTTCAAATTCTAGCGATCTCGAGCCGGTTTCTCAAATTTACCTACCCTACCTTTAAATGTCCTTAATTCAAAATGTTCTGTAATGACTTCGATAAATGTTATATATCATTTTTTGTGTGTAAAAAGCCACTAGTAGTAGCCTTAAGTGAGTGGACTTGAAATGGATATTGCAAACAAAAGCAATGTCTTTTAGTATGATGGCTGATCACTGCATAAATTAATGCAGGATAAAAGGTTAATACTAGTTTGCGATGTGCAAGTCTTGATAGAAACAGTTGTGATATAATTAATCTGTTTTTGCTGGAATAATTCGAATAGGACACTGCACGCTAAACAAGTGTTGTCAACTCTGCACTTCACTTATGCCTTACAGGCTTTACATAATTGGTAAACATACAGGCGATTACACTTGTGGCTGATCAGAGGATAGTATGGATGTCTACAGACTTGTGTAATTCTCAGTTTTTCTCTGTACTGCTTTAACCTGGGCAGTTTAATTAAATAGCTAAGTGAAAACACCTTTGTATGTAGGTCAATACATCTTATGTTGCAGTTAACTTACTTTTCTTTCCAAGAAAATCACAAATTAATATAGTATATGATACAATTGATTTTCAAGCACACTGATGAATACACAATGAGACAAACAATGTTCCTTGACTGCACAGTGACCTCTTTAATTTTTGCAAACTAAAGGAAAACCCAATTTAATTGATTAAAAAAATGTAGCCAAGTACACATGATTGCTTTACTGTGACAATAGCCTACTAATACTCTACTGGTGACAGGTTTAGTGCACTTATTTCAGGTAGAAACAAAAACGTCTTCATTATTCAGTATTTAACATGACATGCAAACTGATTTATTCAGATAAGAGGAGGGTATTTACTTGTCCTACAACAGCAGATGCGAGTAATTTGCACAGAAACATAAAAATCCATCCCAAACATGTAGAGTTCAAACAGGTGTTCTCATTAAGCTTTGGCGGGCCCAATCATCGGTGCCGACTGCTGGTTCTGTTGTAGCTGCTGGATCTTCACGTTCATTACTTCAATCACAGCTGTAAGAAAGAACAACATGTGCACAGTGAATACGCCGTCTGTGAAATACTGTCATAATAAAATATTGTTTTCTGGAAATTATGTTTTTTGGAAGCATATATATTAATACATTCATTTTATTTGTGTAAAATATTCTGCTGTTCAGTGTTAAATAAAGAAAATAATCCTTGTATATTTTAGAGAAAGTCTCACTGGAAATCTAGTGAAAATAGCTTTGTAATCATTTGATTTATAAACCCCTATGCATAATAATTATAGTACTTAGTATACAATTCTTTCAAATTATGCATTGGACATGCCTTTTAAGAAATTGCAATGACAACGTGAAAAAAGAAGGCAGATATCTATACAAATGTAACTTACCTTGCTTCATTCCATGTTTTTCCTGAAGCGCTGGCTGAATTTTCTCTATCTGCTTTGTGAGGAAGTCTATCTTGCGTTTGAAGAATTGTTTTGAGTCTTCCACATTCTAACAGACAAATTGAGAGTTTAAATGTTTTACATGAGAATCATTTACATTACATTTTTACACAAGTTATTCAGTATACAATTATTTATGGACAATCAAATACAAATATATTTGCCTTTTCAACATAGTAGCCTGTTCCAACATCCACTAGCACATTTTCCACATCATTTAATGTTCCAGGGACGTACATCTGAGAAGAAGAAACGTTAAGGACAAGTCTGTACATCTCAAGAAACACAACTTCATTTAAATCACATCACAAGATAAATATATATTTTTTCAATGTAAAACAAAGGATACAGAGCTGGTGAGTGGCACGAGCAGTTCTTTTCCTGTATGAGAATAAAGAGAAAGGGAAAAATAATAAAATTGACTTCAGCAGCAGATGTAGTGGATGATATCAAACACTTTCATCAAACTGACATTACACCTTAGAAAATATAATGCATATTTAAAGCACATACTTTTGCAACAGAATGAGTGGGCCAATTCAAGAGAACCGTTTTTACGTTAGTGAGAGAAAGCCTTGCAAAGTTTGACAGCTGTACTCATCACATTTCAACATCAAGAAGAGTGTAGTATTAATTATCAAAGCAAATTAAGGTCCACAGATGACCTCAATTAGCCAATCACTCCAGTAACTCAAGGTGCATCTTTGTCCCCCAGCTACATTTCCTCTCAATATTCCTAAGGTGATCAAATATTGTATGCATGTCTCCCTGTGTCAATATGTTGAAATCTTCAGAGCCAATAGCCTTCTGATGCTATACTCTTTAATACAACCTGAACATTGTGTAGAGGTTTTCTTGACTTTTTATATGTATTTCTACAGTGACTGGTCAGATTTTATCAGACTGCATTTGAAACATCCCTCTATCTTCCGTTTTTGACTTCTACTGCCAGTATAGTCCTTACCATTAACTTTCAGTGATTTAGATCCAGAGTCATAGGGACAATTCAAACCAAGCCAATATCCTATTAATACTCACCTTTATTTTTTTGGTTCATGACGTTCATACTGTCTTTTGCTTCAACATATTTCGTCTGGACAACTTTGAGCTGACCTATTGAAGAAGTCAAGAACTCAACCTCCTGCAAAACATTCACATGTACAAAAACACCAGACATTAGAGAAGATACAACAAGCGAACACACCTGTCAGAAGCCATATATAGCTAAAACGTACTTATTAACCACATGTGTTCCCACCTCATATGTCACATTTTTTTTAATGTACTGTGGTCTACATGTGTTAAACAATGCCGGACAGTCAAATCACGTTAAAATGTTCAGCTTGCACACCAGGCTCTGGGTATTTAATTACCGTTAGCTTCAGATGGGCTAGCTCGCCCCCCCCACACCCTCCCGTTTTCATTCAGATAATCGCCCGCATAAAGACAATATAAAAGAGCACAGCGACATTTAATACAAACACACCACACACATATTACCTGATCTAGTTGGGTTTTGAGTCCCTCCAATTGAGGCAGGGAGAGGTCTGTGAGATTCACCGCCATGTTGATAGCGCGATGCGAGATGACCCTTTGTGATTGTGTTTCCGGGTTAAGGGTGTGGGCGGGGATTTGTCTGAAACACCGCCCCCCTGTGGACAACAAAACAAATGCACCTGCTTCTTCCACCGAGAACTCAATTATTGTGCCATAACAGTCATTTGGTATGATGTAAAAAAACATTATGAAAAATGACAAAACGTTTGTTCTGATTGGTCATAAGTCAAGAAATGTGGTACGGACATATCTTGGGCACATTTTAGATGACATAATACAAATGTTTACCATTTTGTATTTATGTCTAAAGTCAGAACTTTGTTTTCGATCTGGAATAACACTAAAATTGTGTTTGATATATTCTATAGGATTTATTTTCACTGCGCATTTATTCAATATGTAACTTGCTATGAGTTCATGGATACCAAAGACTTGATTGTGTTCCTTGTAGTGTCTGAGATAAAGCCATTCTCTTATGACGCTTTATCTTTTACACATGGGGAAACTGTTTTTTTCCCCTTATATATAATCAATTCTATACAGTATTAGTAATAGTCCCATGTGCCCAAAGAATAAATATAGTATAAAATAAGCACAAGTACAGTAAAGTACAAATGTCAGAATGCACTTTGAAGTTCAAGTCAATTTCATTATTACTATAGAGGAATTGTATATATCAGTATAAACATTTATGGAGTTTATACTTTCATTTTGTCCGGATGTTTTTCATAATTTATTCATAAATGATGTGAATTCAACACCTTTAACAATACATGACCATATGTCACAAGTAGAGAAACTAGTATTGTAAAAATATATAATGTATAAGATTAAACTTGTTACCAAAGTAAACTGATTTTGTTCCAAATAAAAAGTAACTTGTTCACAGTTACAAAGCATGTTTCTTGTAAATTGTTAATAATACTGTATGTATAATTTTCCCCAGCTCTTTACATAATAGTGACTACTAACAAAGTCATTTTCACAACGCAGACACCGACTGTATGCAAGAACACATTTTATTGAAATTGTTTGATTACATAAAAAATGCATTCAACACCAATTGCTAATAATAGCAATATAATAAAAATCATTCACACCACAGTAAAAACATTTTAAACATGGAAGCATTGGTTTAAATATAGAGAAGGCATTTCTTTGATCTTGCTAAAACAAGAATTAATTTACAAGTCAAAGTCATATTCTCAAAAAATTGCAACTTTAAAAATATGTTAACATCCAGATATTAAAAAGGGTTTGAGGTCCATCTACTGAAGGTGAAGTGGTAAGCCATAGACCACAGGAGCCGCTCCGATGAGGTACTTCAGTTGTGTGGCCTGGCGTGAAGGGCCCATATAATCCAGGAGGGGGGCTCCAGACCCAGCAGAGAGCCAAGACTCCAACAAGTACTTGGTGAAGCGATCAATATCCCGATCTGTAACATCCCACAGGTTCCCCAAAACGAAGGGGCTGAGGAGAAAAAAATAAATAAAATGTATTAATAGCATTTATGATTATCACTGATCCTTATTCAGCTGCAAGTAAAGACGGGTATCTCACCAGCCTGCTATGAGATAGTTGAGGATGATGCCTTGTCCTTCCTGATCCCCACGCACTGCCAGAGCGGCACTGCTGCAGCCGAAGAGCATAGCCGCCGCTCTCATCTGACGCTTCAGGATCGTCTGGCTGTCCAGGAATCGTGCACCTGCACCGTGACCCACGTAACTAAAGATACACAGGGTAACATGGTGTAACATTGATGTTATAACGTAAAGCAGGATAGAATCTGGTGAATAATTCTTAATAAAACACAGTTAAATACCATCCTCTTCTGCATACTTGTAATATAAATGTTTTAACTTTTGACTGGGAGCTTTGAACAGAAAATGATCTACAACTGTTCATTTTATGCGGACATATTTTGTTTCCACAGCCTAAAACCTAAGAAAAGTGTATTCTCAAAGATTCAAGATGAAACGATTACTGTACAAACAATTGGAGTAATCATCACGTTTTTTGACTGTGTAATCTGTAACCAACTTCTGAATGATTTTAGTGTAACTTTTACTCCATCTTGCAGTGTTGTGAACTGTAATTATTTGTTTTATCCTCAGCCAGCCAGGTATTTAAGATCAAATACTCACATGTATAGATCCTTGGTAGCAACAGCTTCTTCCAACTGACCCGAGTCAGGAGCAACTCCACACACACCGTCCCAATCCGGTTTGCTATAACAAGAATTGTAAAGTAGTAAATGGGAAGAAAACACACCGTGGACTGAAAGACCAATGATATTGTTTCCCCCATGAGTGTTGGTCTCACCTGCTGAACCATTCCTTGAATCGTTCTTGAGAGTTTTCTAAATTGGCATCAGGGTTCAGCACATAAAACACCTGCTTTGTATCCACACCTTGCTTCAGGATGGAGTCAGAGTCATTCTGAAGGAGAAGATGTAAATAACAACAAATCAGTGCTATTTGTCAGTAAACTTACACAAACCTAGCAAAGCCAGTGTCATTCCTCCAGTTTTCACAGTTGTGGCAATAGACACAACTGAACTTCACTGTGAGGAAGTTAAACATATCAGCACCTTCACAGGCCGTATTGGCACAGTAATAGATCTTAAATCTTACCTCTTTCTGAATGCTCAGTCCAATCAGTGAGTGCAGAGAAGGCATCCGGCTGACCGAGCGAGACATTAACATGGAGATGCTCTCCCATGGCAGCTTCTGAAGGTACTGGAAACGTAAGAGGATAGAAGATTAAACTTCTACATTTGGGAGAAAAAAGGCTTCCAAAAGCACTACCAATGTTTCTCTAGGTTACAAAAAGTTAAATCTAAAGACTTAAAAACACATAGAATTAAATTAAACCCAGTAGTGGTCAGACTTAGTCATTTACGATGGAAAATAAGTATTGATGAAAACAAGTCGAAGACCTAAAATAACTAAGTACATGGACCAAATTAAATGATAAGTTAAGAATACAATTATAGTATAGAAACAGCAAGAACTGGCTAAAAGTACTTATAAAAACCCAATACAACAGATTTATTCTGATGAAGATCCACTTGATTATTTGCAGGTAACAATAGTAGAGCATTCATTTTGATAAAATGTCAGAGCTTTCTTCCAAATACAAAGCAGACTATAGGATAATGCAGTATTTAACAAAGCTAATGAAACCAACCTTGTCCAGGATGAGAACCACATGGCCGCGGGGCTCTTCTCTGTCAGCGAGCCGGGTCACAGCTGTAAGAAGGAGCCGCTCACACTCTGTGTCCCACTGTGGAGAAACTCCGAGACCAAATCTCCTTAGGTCTGCTTGGGAGAGCTCAGGGGAGGCAGAAAGCAAAACCTGAAACACAAGAGTCAAAGTGTTAGGGTCTGCCGTTATGCTGTTCCTAAATGGAAGGTCTGATGCTGCTGCTTATGTTTATGTTTATTAAGGATCCCCATTAGCTTTTGCTCTTGACAAAAGCTACTCTTCCTGGGGTCCGACACTTAAAACAATAATACAACATTCAAGACATAATTCCTGACATCATTAACATCACCAACAATCTCATCCACTTTCAATATCAATCTCAGCCAAGGATGAGTGCACAAGACACCCACCAGTACAAAGCATGAGATCAAATTAAATTAGGGTTCACAGCTCACAAGGGTACATGGTCATTAGTAGATGGCCCTTCAATCTCTTCTTGAAAGAGGCTCTGGACTCTATTTCAGCGAGGTAGTTCGGCAATGAGTTCCATTCCTTTATTGCTCTATAAGTCACTGAAGATTTCAGAAGATTTGTCCTGGGTTTAGGTGCCAGTAGATGGCCTGATGTAGCTTGTCTAGTCCTATGGTCATGCTCGTCTCTTGTGTAAACTATTTGATCATAAAAATACAGTGGTCTTTTGCTAAATTGGACATTTTATTGCAACTTTCTGCTAAAGGTCCATGGAGCTAAAAACAACAACACACACCTTTAACATGTCCTCACTAACTGTCACTCCCTTTGCAGATAAGGACTTGCAAAGGTGCCGGGATTGTTTGGAGAGCTCAGGATCCGATGAAAGAGGTAGAAGAAAGCTCTTCCAGCATCCCAGCAATCTCTCCATCTCCTTCAACAGTCGCTGAAAGAAAAAAAAGTAGGAGCTTAATTAGACAAAAACATTGATTGTGTCCTGTCAGTGGAAGAGTATAACTGAAGTATATCTATGTGAATAGAACAGGCATTGTAAACCCCTCAGGGTCCCGGGCAGCACCCTCGCTCTTCCTTCCTTCCTTCCCCCCCGTGCTTACCTCAACTCGAGAGTCAAGCGCCCAGCGGCCCTCCCACCACTTGGCTTTCTCAGACACGCAGCTCACAGCCTTCTGCGCCACCTGAATGCTATCGATCTCCTGCACCAGCCAACTGATGGGGTGCTGCAGAACACACAGATAAAGATAGAGTTATAATCTTAGATGTTAAGGATGAACAGGTAAATTACAGAGGTCACACTACACAAACGTATATTAGTGTAACAAGATTATTTCATTGCAAGATACTTTTTTTGTTGAATTTAGTGTGACATATTTACTAATTGATGCAAAGAAAGCAGATACTGTGTTCACCATTTTGGGTGTATGTGGGGTATTACATGTTACTTGTTAGACGCTTTTATCCAAAGCGACTTACATACTCAATACTGTGGGCAATCCCCACAGGAGCAATTTGGGGTGAAGTGTCTCAGGGACACAACGACATGCTGACTGCAGTGGGACTCGAACTTGCTATCCCCTGATTCAAAGTCCAGCACACTATCCACTGAGCCACAGCCTCATCATATTTACATTCAATTAAACTACAATAGTAAACTTGATTGGTTAATTGTTACTTGATAAAGAATGGACGTGTAAGCATGCGGAAATTCACCATGTTTCTTAAGCCGCAAGTAATTACAATAAAATGGTCTGGTTTCAGATTGGGTCTACCTACTCGTACCACAATTTGCCGTCCTCACCTGTTGTTTCGAGGTGGAGATGTGAACAGTGACCGGTGCAGCTCCCTTTTCAAGGCGGGACAATATGATGCTGTCACCCACCTCTCCAGGTTTTACTCCAAGCACAGAGAGCACACACACCGTCACCCCTGTAAAGGGAAAGAGAGGGATGCACCAAGAGAAAGGAGTTTGCTTATCTTATTAGGAACGTTAGCATCCAGTAATCTGAATTAAATGAAGTCATTAACAAGACAAAACCTTAAAATGTTCCCATTTTTGCTACTGAGATCTAGATTCTTTACCTGTGGGAAGGTGTTGCATTTGTTGGGTAAACTCTTGGCAGTGGCTCTTGGGGAAAGACGATGAGTCAGCAGTTGGGAAGGAGAAGATGTTCTCCAACTGCGTCAGCCTCTGTTCGGTAGAGTTCTTGGAATCGTTCGGGCCGGGCTCACCTAGCCTCAGAGCATCCATTTTGTCTGTGAGCTCATTGGATGCCTTTTTCAGCTTTCTGTTTAAAACACATCAAAGTAATGTGAATTAAACAATGTGTAAAATCATTGAATGTGGGATATCTGGATAAAAAAAACGAAATGTTGGTCAGAGAGAAATCTAGACTTCACAATATACAAACAAGATGCTTACTTGAGACAACAAGCTAAATGCCTGATTGTGTGATGACGACTTGTGATTCCCAAAGACTGGGCGTGCAGCATCGCTGTAGTTATGGGGTCCTGCTGTCCCTTGGTCAACGCAAGTAAAGCACAGAGGGTGGTGTAGATGGAGGGGCAGGGAAAGTGCTGGAGGGCCAGCCAGGCTGAGAGGAGCAACGACTCAACATCCTCCAGAGAAAGATTGTCTGAGAAAAAGAAAAAGAAAAATTATATAGACGGGATTCGATTAAGAAAGTTAAACAGCTACCTATAACAGTTTAAGACTGCTGACGTCTTTATCTCAGCTTCTGGCTGATCAACCACAATGCTGACTAATGTCCATAGGAGATACAGAGTGGGTCAGATGAAAGGCAAAGAAACAAGACAGGCCGCTGCCTTGATTAAAATGACTGATTTCTCTGAGTTTGAGAACAAACATTTGGAATAATGCAAATACATAAAACAACGAAAAACATAAATGGATCTAGTTATTAGACATTTGAATGCAGAAAAGTACATTTTAGATATCTTAGCCCTAACTATTGCTTTTGGAGTGTATTTCTATGGCGAAATGCTTGAACAAAGAATATGATCAATTACTGCTTTAAGAAAAGATTGTAGTGACATGTTCCCCTCTCACCTGGCCTGGTGTCGGAATGAGAGAGGTGGGTCGGTGGAGCTTCTCTCAGATGACCTCTGCTCTTCAGTTCAGACAGGGTGTCTCTCTCTAAAGCACAACACGTATCCCTCCGCAGCACCTCGAAATCTGTGTGGAAAGAGTTAAGAAGAGTTGTGGTCTGCATCCCATTACATGTTCTTGTATAGTGTAATCTAATGTACAGGATGGTATACACTCAGCTCAACGTGGCGTCTGTCAGATACGTTTAAGACATTCCCTAATTGATACAAAGTTCACCATTGCATAAAATACTCACCAATATCTTTACTAAGATTGTCCTCAGTCTCAGTGTCTGATGCCCTGAGCTGCTCCATGCTGATGTCCAGAACTCCAGTGGTTTCCTCCTCGATGGTCCGCATCTTGTCGGGCTTCTCCAGTGAATCTGGGTCTGGCCTGGACAGCTCCTTTCTGGGTCTTCCTCTTCTTGCTGTGGCAGTCTGACAGACCACAGTCTCGTCATCCTCAGAAGAAACCAACCGAGAGAGTGCGGTGGTCTTCCTCCCCCTGGTCTGCCTCTTGGCTGGGACCTTCTCTGCAGGAGGGGGGTCTGGAGCCGTTTTACTGTTCTGCGCAGCTCTTCTTGTGGTGGCTCGCTTTTTAGGGACATCGGTTTTTTCTTTAGGCTCGGCTTGGGTGTTGGATTCCGTGTCACTCTCATCGCTAAAATCCAGCTGTATGGAAATATTGCAAAGAAGATTAATTTCTTTTTTTATGCATGCTTCTTAGTTAATATTAAGCCGTCTTTGGCTCTTTTCTTGCTGTAACAAATGCACATTTCTCCTCTGAGGGACGAATAAAAAAGGTATTCTGATTCTCATTTACCCCCACATAATAAACACAAACAACTATATGTTATGCAGCAATAAAATGTTTACCTTGAAAAAGGATTTCTTTGTGCGTCTGGGGGCAGCAGGAACGGGTTGGGCTTTTTTCTGTTCTGGTGACAACTCTTCATACACATTGAACTGTATCTTAGGGGCAGTCCTCTGCGCTTTCTGCACTGTGGGAGGGGCTTTTAACTTTGGAATAGGAGTACAGGACAAAGTAGGCACCACTGTGTTAAAGCCAAAAGATCCAAGGTCAGGCTTCACCCTTACTGGCGTCATGGGAACCAGCCACTTTCCTTTGGTGGAGGAGCCAGCCCCCTGAATCCTGGGCGGGACAATCCTCACCTTCTTGGCCTCCTTTGTTTTGTCAGGAATGTTTTTAATGGACCCTTTGGGCTTTTTAAGCAAGGATGAGGGAAGCACTGCTTTCTCTTCTGATTTCAGATCTTCCTTTGATGTGTTCCAAGTCCAAGCATTTGAGAAGAGCTCTTCTGGAGTGCAGCCCTTTTTCTCAGCCAAGGTAACCAATGACACAATAGCTTTGATTGCCATTAGGCCTGCTCTCACGGGTCTCAGCACAGGTGAAGTTGTGTTATCAACAAATGCCAAACCAGCTTCCAGTACTTTCCATATCCCACAAACCTTGTTATGCCTTGGCTCCAGTGCAGACAGGGCCATGTGGAGGTAGACGCGGCCCACCACGTCCTGCATCAGGGAGGGTTTAGAGGATCTTTTTGAAGGTCCATGGGGAGGAAAGAGTTTAGCCAATTTTGCCCCAAGTTTGGCAGCGACACTCTTGCAGCGAGTTAATGTTGCCGATTGAAGTTTGAAACTGACTTTGGCGTCGTTGGGATCGAGCTGGAGGATGAGGTCGGCCTCAGCGGCGGCCCAGCGGGCGGTGGCGCGGCCCAGACAGGGCTCAGAGCAGCAGGGGCAGGGGCAGGCCGGTTCATGGGCCAGGGAGGAGAGCCAGCGGCGAGGCTGGACTTTAAGAGGGGGGGAGCAGCTCAGATTCCTCACTATAGGCTCTCTGTTACACCACCTGGTGCTCAGGATGTCTTTGAGATCATCCTCAAAAGCAGGAAGGGGCGACTGTGACTTCTTCACAGGGCGACCTTTCCTAGGTTTGATTTTCACTTCTGCCTTCTGCACGTGATCAGAGAAATCTGAAGAAAAACCAATAAAAAGAAGTCCATTTAGTTGTTAAAGAAAACTGATATGCTTCCTAATGCTGCTGGCAAAGAACACAAAACAAGTCATTATTACTTATTTTGCAAATGTCTGAGTACTTAGGATATACATCAATCACGTTACAATGTTACTAAAAACATGGTGCTTTGTTTCCAACAGACCTGCACATAGGTCCAGAAGATCTCCGACTTTGTCTAAATCAAATCCACTCTCATCTTTCTCCCCCTGCATCAGCTCCAACTCGGCTTTGATCACCAGTAGCTCCGCACAGCTTAAACAATGACAAAGTAAAGCAGGAGTTAATGCCATCACAAGTTTCCTCAGTTTTATATTCATTGTGCTGTGTCCTGGGCCTATTATAACTACAATACATTGTTAAGCATGCACTAATGGAACTAATGAATACGGTCACAATGTTTATAATAATAAAAAAAAAAAAAAAGGTACACATGAACAATACAGCACGTTAGAGCCCTGCAATACATGGAAAACACCGTTAACATAAAGCAGTTCAGCCACAGCACTACACAGCATACCGCATTAGAGTTAAATCACCACCTCTATGAAAACAAATCTATAATAAGCTGGTTTAATTAAGATGTATTACTGGGCCGTTCTATTGAATTGCATCAGACTGTACAGGAGGAGGTATCGGATAAAGTATAACATTTAGCAATTTTAAATCAATAAAGCGCAAGAGCACAATACTGTATAAATTGTATTTTACATGCTCAACCGAGCACTGGTGCATTTTCAGGTCTAATGAATATGCTTTAACACTATATCAAGCTTAACAGCCCAAAGAAGATTTAGCATTGTGCACTATAGGAAACTAAATATTTAAGAATAGCCGGTTCAAGCTAATAATATCAGGGCCCCATCCATCCTTTGGATCCTACTTTACCATTTAGAGTTAACCGACTATCATGCACATGTACGTACTGGCTGAGTGCTTGCAGCTTGATGGCCAGTTTCAAAGCTTCTAGACACTGGAGCCTGGCGTCATTGATGGCTCCACAGCTGCTCCTCACAGCCACCATCTTCATAGAGCAGTTCAGCAGCTCTGAGAGCAGCTGCCACTTCAGCACCAAGTTATCTCCTGCACAGGGCGAGGGGATCAGATGGAAAGAAAGATTGTATTACCCTTTTAGCAGACCTACAGGACAGTACATGTACAATGGAAATCTTGTGTACATCTCTTCGACTCAGCTCTCAAAACTGTTAAAACAGCATTAAGAGAAACTACATGTTTGAATAATACAAACTAAATACACACTATGAATTATATCCAAATACACACTATGAATTAAACAATTTCACAGAACAAAAGACTTTGTACAACCAACATTGCAGGAAAACACTACAAGAGACCTTATTGTTGTATTAGCAGCATGTATTGTCAGTCCATGTGTGGGACAAACGTACCTTGGTCGATGAAGCGCGTGTCTGAGCAGCTGCTGTTAGTCCCGTATAGCCCCTTCCCCACTAAAGTGACCAGCAGGCTGCACAGAAGCTTCAGGCTCTCATACAGGGCAGTGTCCAGGCTTCTTGTTCCTGAGAGACAATCACAAGTCCTTACTTGATGAAAGCTGCAATCCTCTCCTTTACAAAACGCAAAATTTAAACCATTTAGTTGAATGAAGTAAATGCCTTAGCTTACCGTGCTGGGTGATAAGGTTTCTCTGGGCTTGTGGCAGTGCACCTGAGTCCAAACTCAGATAGGAGCTGCAGGTCTGGAGCGTGCGAGCCCGCAGCAGGTACCAGCTCTTTGACTGCCTCCGCTTGTTCATTTCTTTCAGCACCTCACACAGATATGCTACTCCACGATCCACCTGATGTATGCCCAAACAGGAGAGGGGCAATTTGATACTGAACTACACCATCCAAAAAGCAATCTTATATCAAAATAAATACTGCTAGTGCGTGACCTACCTGTCCTGTGCTGTAGCAGTACTGAGCTTTCAGCAGAACGGCCGTCATAGACAGAGAAGAAGGTCCATCAGCGGAGGGAACAGAGGTAAGAAACTTCTCTGCTTGCTCTAGTTGGGCCTTCAAAATAGTACAATAAACAAAGTGAGATGTAGCACAACAAATAAAATGTGTTACTACAGTGTGAATAATTATAAAGCTGCATTACCAAAGCCAGATCAGGGGAGCCCATATCCAGAAGGATGCTGGCTGACTGACAGAGGGAGGTGGCACATCCAGTGGCGTCAGCGAGTTCACGTGAAAGTCCAATCGCAAGTTGGTAAGCTTCCAGAGCCTTCAAAGGCTATAAAAGAGAATAATGAGATTGTCATTAATACAGATGCTCTAATAAGTGAGCAACACTTATAACAATCTGACCGAGGAAAACACACTAAAATACCTCTTTTACACACGTCTTTTTACAGTAAAATAATCACTTTTTCTGATAATGGTTGAATCTACTATCAGAAACACATTTTCCATGAAATAAATTGCAAGAGAATGCTGAAATGTATGCCTTTCAAATATGGAGAAACCTGCTTTTTCTTAAAGCCGTTTTGGCTAAACAAAACAAGACATTTAAGGACAACATTTTGGCATTTTAGTAATTGCTAGGATTCTTTTTACTATTTTCTGACATTTAATTGACGACTAAACCATTAAATCTAGAAAGCAATCAAAATTGATAATGAAAATATTTTGAGTGGTTTTACTACCTTGTATGGAAAACCTTAGGGGAATTATGTCCATTTTAGTTTGACTTTTCATTAACAAACTGAGACAAAATGTTTGTGACCACATTTTGTGTCGTTACCTTTGCCATGAGTCTGAAGAGAGCCGCAGTCACAGCGAGGGAGCCACAGGTCTGTTTGGGGTTTCTGACAGAAGGCAGGGCTTTACTCTGCAGAAGAGCAGACCACTCATCCAGGGCTCTTTCCAGAGGTTTGCACAGCTCTTAAAAGAAAAAGATTTCAGCTAATGATAAACAAGCATCTTTTTTACTTTTTTTAAATCGTATTTAGTGAATAGTCATCATATTATACAGGTAAGATATAAAACACATGTATATTCTTACTGTTCTCTGCAGCCAGGTTGAAATGCAGGCCTTCATAGACCAGAATTATGTCCTGTGTTTTCTGCTTGTCTTCATAATCTAAATCATTAGTTCCTATGGGATTGGCTGAACATTGTGACTGCTCTCTTAACTCTCGCAGTGTTTTGTCCCCTTCAATGCCCTGACCAAAAGCACACAAACATCAGTAATTAATCACAAGATGCTTAGTCGGTCAATCAAATCAAGACTTAAACACAGATAGATAAAAAAAACAGTATAACAGTCTTAATTTCAGTTTCACTCTCGATTTTTATGACAGACAATAACTTGCATATTGATATCCTGACAAGCTCACCTCCTGAAGATTTTTCTCCAGAGTGCAGATATAGAGCCAGAGTAAAGCATGGGCCTTGTCATCCTTCAGCCTGTCTGCATTCTCCGGAGTCTCTGGTTCTTCTTCAAGTAGCCGTAGAGCTTCATGGGTGAAATCCACTGTCGTGCTGTGTAGTTACAAATTAGCAAACTGAGCATATGAACAGAAAGATGATGCACCTGTTGGTCCAGCTTGTTTAAGACTAACAATATAAATAGTTTTCCCTGAACACACAATTTAGTCTGGATTTGTACTATTCATCAATGAGCACCATTCATTAGGGAAAACGATCTAAATAAAAGCTCCTACCAGTCAGTCTGTTCACTGAAATCCTGGTAACACACAACTTGGGCCATTTCAGTGAGGTAGACAGCACGCAGATGTGTGTGTGAGCTGTCCTCATGGCAGATGTCCAACAGATCGCAGAGTGTGTTGTAACGCTCCTGAGACGTGTCTCCTGCCACATCCTTATAGGCACGCAGCTCTTCCTCCAATAAGCAGAGCATTACTCGCTCATCAGGGACGTCGGGTCCAAATCCATCATGTAATGTCCTGTTTCAGGATGGGACATGTTGCCTTTACATTAATATGCAATGATCTACATTCTTTGAGAGCTTAAATGTTGTCACAAACATCAGAAAGAGTCTTTGCATTATAATTTGTGTGTACCTGAGACGGATGTCCTCCTCAGAGTTACGGGCAGCGTCAGTCTTTGTTTTCACCCACAGAGAGACAGGTTCAGCCATGTGAGAAGTGATGTTGTCCCCCAGAGCCTTCAGCCACAGGATGACCCAGTCCAGCGCCCGCTCCAGATGTCCGGCCCGCCGAGACGTCTGCACAGCCAGCATGAACGGGCGGCTCAACTGAGGAGTGAAAAGCCATGTTAAATATGACATTTGTCTTGAACGTGAAAACATTATTACTTAACACAAATGGGAGTCAGATAAAAATGGTCCATATGATGACGCTGATGTGCACAAACTTCTGGAGCAAGCTCAAAAGTTATGAATCTCCACCTAATTTCCAAGAGTATTATATCAAATATCTTGCAAAGAACATACAGTACACCTATTAAGATACACACATTCAACAACAATATCTCACTGTGCCATAAATGTAAAGATATCATTTTAATTATGATCCGGCTTTGTGAAACGAATACAGAATAAAAAAAAAGAAAAATCACAAATTTTACATTTGTCAAAGTGGATATTCCTGAGGATCCTGAAATGTGGATCCTAGAAAACTTGAACCCATTGAGCAAATATAACTACTTCAAACTGATACATCATCGTAGGTAATCTGTATATTGACAACCAAGCATGATGTAATTTGTATAGTCTGTAATTCTTAAGACAATGTATATGATAAAAACTTACCCTATCGACACAGAGCGAGGTGGGGCAATTCTTGCTTAGTTCCCGACAGAGGATTTCAACCAGAGATAAGGCCTGGTCATAGAGACGCCGGTTGTAAAATCCACAAGCTAAGTTGCTCACAGCAATCACTGCAAGACACATGGTAATCATAAAATTAACTAAATGTCATACAATACAATATTATACATCTGTATTTTGCAATGCAAGTAAGCAGAGCTGCAACAATTGGCAGGATGAAAAACAACAACTTTTACTTTATCAATAAATAATATTTTAACAATAGGAGAAAATGCTGTTTTCAGTCTCTTAATTATGGAGGTAAAGTAAAAATCGTTGGGTTTTTAATTGACAAAGACATTTTAGGACATCAGCTCGAACCTTGAGATAGAAATGTCACTATTGTCTGACATTTGATAGACCAAAAGATCAGCAGATGAGCCGAACAAAAAAAAATCATCAGTTGCAGCCCTACATTTCTGAACCGCTAAAACATTAGTAATTGAGAATGTAATCACCTGATTTGACGAGAAGCCTTTCACTGGACAGTTTACGTAGTTCAGTCATCATCTGTCCAGCTGTGGCCTGGCAGTACAGCAGCACTCTGTCCAAGGTTTCACTGTTCTCCAGCTGAGAACAACAAATCACAATCAGTCAACTTGTAGCAGAGTACAATAACAACGGCAGGAGTAGTGGCATCTGTGCGACTCTTCAGTATTGATACTATCATAATAAAATACAAAAATAAATATGAAAAAAGGATGCAAAAGAAGCAACCTCACCTGTAATGCCACCATGCTCTCGTAGGCAAATTCAAAGCCTTGGTAGCTATTGATGCAGAGAGCCTGCTGCAGTCTGCTGAGCTCAGCCTGGCATGTCGAACTCTGAAAATCAAACAGGCCAAAGGTTATCTGTTGAAAATACATTGACCACCCCTTTAAGCAATTAAGCACAGCACAAACGTGATTATTTTCAAGCTCAGAAATTACACTTACCTTCTTTAGAACCTTTATTATCTGTTCTTGGTGCTCCTCAAGAAAAGAAAACAAAGCCAGGAGCACAGGTCCGCTCAATCCGTTGCTGTGGTCACTTTCGACAGCCCATAACACGAGTCCACATGCTTCTAGGACTGCGTGAGCTTCTCTGTCCCCCAGGTCAGCTGATAGAGACCTCAGGGCCCTCGCACACTCCGTCAGAGCCGGGCCACTCTCACCGCGGGCCTTCACTGTGGAATGAATCTTTACCGCCCACTTGCCGAGCACCACAGCTGTACACTGACAGTCAGCTAAGTCTTTGACCTTGCTCTCAATTTCACTCAAAAAGGTGGAGGCCAGATCATAGTGGGCAAACTTACAAAGCATCTTCACTATAATCAGTGCCATTTCTGAGAGTGTAAATATACTTGATGCCACAGACAACTGCTTGGACCCAGCGCCATCGCTGCCAGTCCAACATCTGTTGAAAAGCGTCTGCATTTTCTGAAGGAGAAAAGAAGCATCGTCCTTGGTTACCGTTTCAAAGCTACTCTCAAATTCAGTGATGGCATCCTCTGTGTAAATGGGGGCTTTAGAGATAGATGGGGTTGCACTGTCTGTGTCCAACAGCAAGAGGAAGCTCAGAGCTTGCATCTGGCAGTGAAGTTTGTCGTGTGGATTTAGGATTTTTATGTCTTTGGTTGCAGATAATCCATTCCAGAGCACCGAAAAGCAGCTTCGCACAACAACAAAGTAGTCCTCAGCCTATGGAGCATAAAACAATAACCTTGTTAGTTCTGACGCTGAAAAGAAAATCATGAAGTGAAGATTTGGAATAGTGCTGAAACTAACAACAACTTCCATTACAAATGAATCTTGGTCATGTTCAACATTCTCTGCATCATCTAGCTTATTGTATTTATTTATTTTCTGACATGTATATAGTTAACTTCATCTGCACTACTTGTGGACTGGTCTAGCTACATAACCTGCACTATTTTATTCTTTCATTTATTGTCTTGTGATATATATATATATATATATATATATATATATATATATATATATATATATATATATATATATATATATATATATATATAAAATATGTTGCATGTTGACCTAAGATAGCCGCTTTCACACCAAGTACTTACTTGCCGTACTTGGAGCCCCGGCACTTATTACCCCAGGGCAGTAAGTACCAAATCGCGTACTTTTCCCTGAGGGAAGATTACGAAAATGAGCCGCTGACGTCACTTTGTCTTCTTCTGCTTTGCGTTTACTGGCAGGCCGCAAACAACTTCACGGCGTATACTGCCACCAGAAGTCCCCGGAGTTGGGGACTTGCTTCAGTAGAAGCCTTCCGAGTAAATCGCCAGAATGCCGACACCTCCTCATCACTCCACCGCTCCCATGTTTTTTTTTGTGTTGCCATAAGTTATTCTCTCTCCGTTGGTGCGCGGGGCTAATGCTAATAATGCTAATGCCAGCAAATACAATGGCGGCTTCAAAAAACTGTTCAGGGCGTGGTTTGCAATTCGCCCAGCCAATAGCCGCGTTCACACCGGAGTACTTTTCCCCGTACTTTTCGCGTTTAGTTCCGTTAGTACCCCTTATGTCGCGTTCACACTAAAAAGAGTACTTCAAGCCGGGAACTTTTACCCCCATTTTTAGTGCCTGCTGAGAGATGGTACTTTCCTGGGGGGAAAAAGTGCCCCAGTTCTGATTGGCTGGGCGAATTGCAAACCACGCCCCGTAAAACTCTGAAATGTTTTGTAGAGCCGCCATTTTATTATCCTCGCATTAGCATTAGCATTCGCCCAGCGCACAAACGCAGAGAGACTAACTTATGGCAACACAAAATAAAACATGGGAGCGGTGGAGATGAGGAGGTGTCGGCGTTCTGGCGATTTACTCTGAAGGCTTCAGTAGAAGCTGCTGGGAGTCCCAGCAGCTTCTACTGAAGCCAGTCCCCAATCCGGGGACTTCGGGTGGCAGTATACACCGTGAAGTGGTTTGCGGCCTGCCAGTAAACCCAAAGCAGAAGAAGACGAAGTGACGTCAGCGGCTCATTTGCGTAATCTTCCCTCAGGGAACTTATTCCGGTGTGAACGCGATCTGTACTAAGTGCCCTGGGGTAATAAGTGCCGGGGCACTAAGTGCCGGCAAAGTACTTGGTGTGAACGCGGCTAAATTGGTACTTTTTTGGCACCACCTCTCTAGCAGGCACTGAATGGTGGTAAAAGTTCCCGGCACCAAGTAGTCTTTTTGGTGTGAACGCGACACCACTACTAACGGAACTAAACGGGAAAAGTACGGGGTAAAAGTACTCCGGTGTGAACTCGCCTAATGCCATAACTACACTGTAGCTACTGTGCATATGATAATAAAACCCTTGAATCCTAATCTGCTGATATTTTTTTCGTTTCATTCGTTTGGCCAATAAAATGTTAGAAAATTGTAAAATAAAGCAAAGAAATTATTAAAATAGTTTACAAATGTTTTTCTGTCAAAGAACATATACATTTAACATACCTGTTGAGCTGCAGAAAGCCTGCCGTAAAGCAACCCAGCTACATGGCTACATGGATTGTGAGCTTCAAGGGAGCTTAGCTTTTTGACAATATGGAAAATGATCTTCTCCATGTACAGCGGACTGCTCTGAGCAACAAGTGCTTCAGAAACATCATAGCCGTGAAGAGAAAGCTCCACCAGCTGGACCAACACACTGACATGGTCAGAAGTTGGAGATCCAACTCCGAGTTGATGGTTGCAGGCTCTGATGATCCTGTCACATAGTGTGCGACCCTGGAGGCCGGTTTGACTCTTCACATACTTCTGCAGAGAAAATAGATAAATAACAACAGGTTTAGAGTCTCTTTCAAATGAGTTGTGTCCGTTATCATACCGGGGTGGCACCACGCATGCTTTTTTAAAAACATATCAAAGGATATTGGCCCAATTTAACACGTTTTAAACAGGCGGTCGTGTTGTTTAAATGCAAGTGCTTAAAACACGTTAGTGAAATAAATACTTGTTTCGTCGCTAGGAGCATGTGGTAGGTGTAGTTGTTTGCTAACCTGTAGTTCTTGACGTAAAATATCCGTCTCTTTCACAGAAGCAGTCAGCTTGATATATTCTTCCACTTTCAAGCACTTCATGACGACAGCTGCATAAACAAGTTAATTCAGATTAAATACACTTTTGTTGATTTTGAATTTCGATAACGCGATTAGCTTAGTTTAGCTAACGTTAGCGTCAACGTTCATCACAACATGTTCTACCAACGTTAGTTTGGGATCGAATAACGTTAAACTGAGACTTACCTCTAGGGGAGAGTTTTGAAACAACACTTTCCTTTACAGCAGATAAAAAGGACACGTGTTCACAACGAAGCAGAGGTATGTTGTGTCTAAGATCAGTTTTAAGATTCAAATCCTCAGCTATCATGGAAACTACTCCCCGCACTGTTTTTGAAAGGTCTGCTAGCCAATCCGAGAGCATATCCGCTTTTACCCGGAAATGCTATGAATTGTGGGTGTCGTAGTTGTGTAAATAACTGCTTGGCGCATAGAGTGAGGACATGAATCATGATATTATAGAAAAACATACATTCAGCAGAATGTGGATTATACATTTTGCAGTATAAGTCAAGAGTAAAAATATATATATATGTGCTGATGTATGACTTGAAGTCCTGGTGGCGACATTTAGATTTTATATAAAGACTTCTTGCTGATAAGTTATTTTTTTAAAACACTACATTATTACAACAATACACCATGAAAAGCTCCCTGGGACAAATACTTGTTTTATGTTCAGTGTAAACCCCATATAGAGTGTGATTCCATTGGCAGTACATGTTTGTAATCCTTTTTTCTTTAATTGGTAGGTGGAGTGATCAGTAAATATGTTTTTGTTTGGAACATAACCACTAGAGGTCACATGTCCACACTTCCCTCTCTTGGCCCAATACAACAGTTCAAACTTCCCATCATCAATTGTGAGAAAATGCAGGGTCAAAAATATTTTCATATGGACTTCTGTCCGATTGATCTTTACAGGGCTGAGGGGGTGAGTGAACAAAGCTGTATAAATGCAAACGACCATTACTTATAATAAACCATATTTAAGGTAATCTATTTGTAATCTTTTGTTTTAATCAGATTATTTAATAGGTCTGTGGATTGAAAGGTAAAGCAAGCATGGATGTGACAGGATATGGAATTTGGAAAAAGTATGAATTAGATATGATTTAGTTGAGATTTCAATTGAATTTATACAGGGACAGAAAGGACATTTGATATGCAAAATACAGAATAAAACAACTGCAATGAAAAAATAAGTTATTGGAGGCAGCTATAAACCAGACCACACAAATACAATGTAATTTGTTTCTGTAAAAGAATAATCACCTGTGAGACTTGCTGTGTGGGGATATACTTGTGATCTTTATTTATATTGCACTTTTCATAGTCAGTGTTTACAAAGTGCTTTTAAGAGAAGACAAATAGACATACAACGGCAACTAAGGAACACCAGCTCTCTTCTTGATGACATGTTCCATCTCAGCCTTTTCAGTCGTGTCCAGATCCGTTTTGTACTTGGCCAGGATTTTCAGGATGGGCCTCAGCTTAAGCCACCACTGTATCTTGGGAATACGGTGCCTGTGGAGGACAACATTTGTCAGTGCAAAGCTGAAACTGAAAACAAGAACAATACTCTTGAAGCCTAGGAAGTCAAATTATTTAGGTAAGGTATTTCAAATAAAGCTGAATTACGTGATTGTTGGCCAGGTGACAGAAGGACTCAAAAGTAAACTCACCACAAGGGGGCTTAAGCTTCATATTCTTACTAGAATAGCTTTCTCTTAGTTGGTCATACTTCTGCTTTATTTGATAAATTACACATCACATGTCATTTTAACCTATCAACTCAATTTGATTTGATCTGCAGTGAAAAAACTGAAACGTTGCCTTTAAATAAATAAACGGATTTCACATAACTGTATTAGGTTAGCTGAAAGCAATAATATTTAGTTTAAATACAAATATGTAGTTTCAACTTAATATTATTGCTTTCAACTAACCTCATACAGTTATGTGCAATGTTTTTGACATAATACATTTAATTAAAGGCAACATTTCAGTTTTTTCAGTGTGATAATATGTCTTGCATTTTAAGTCTTTGTAAAGCACTTTTAAACTTGTTTTTCAAAAGCGTTATATGAAGTTATTTTTAATAATGACTTTAATTTACTTTAACCCTGGGTTTTTGGACCACTTAATAAAACAATGTCAGTAAATATAAAACAATGCAGAAGAGTTTAAGTAACACATTGGCAGGATAGTCTTACTCAAAGTCAGTGAGATCTTTAAGTTCTGACAGAGGCTGGAAAACCAAAGATCTCTTCTTCATGCCCAGCACACAGGCAGAATCCGGAGAGTTGGCAAAGATACGACCTGGAGGTTTTAGGATAAAAATAAAGTGTACATGATTCCAGAGAGCACAAGAATAATCACACCACAATTGTACAAAACAGTCCTCACCATGTCTGTAACAGTCCTTTAGCTTGTCAGTCAACCATAGCACTGCCTTGATCCCCATTTTGGTGGCAAAATTCCTGTCGAAGGGACTTGGAGTTCCACCCTTAAAACACACAAAAGGTTTCCCTGTGAAATTAAAGCCGATGGCAAATCAAATGAGTCTGCCAACAATAACAGAACATCTGCATCTGATGGCTCACCTGCTGCATGTGCCCAAGTACATTCTTCCTGCAGTCAAACACACCCTTGCCTTCCTCTGAATACAGGTTGAAGATGAAGTCTGTGGTATAGTTGGCATTGGATTTCTCATTTCTGAAAAAATATGTTTAATATTGTGTGAAAATATAAGCCACAGATGAAGTTCAAATATAACATTCTGATTAAATGTGCATTATCTGTTACATGTTGTTTTAAAGTTTCCCCTTCACCTTTTCAACATATTAAATGCAGTTTTGCACATCTGACGCATGAGAATGATAGCAATAACCACTAATAACACTCATTTGCTCGGCTAATATCTGTGGTTGGGTAACAAACCTCAGAATCAGTCCTCTCTTCACTGTTGTCTTCATCTTCTCCACCAGATGTTCCACATTCAACTACGCACAAATCAACCATTAGACCACTAATGTATGTCATCCCTAAGCTAGTCTCTTTAATACATTTACAAGGACAGACCTCTAGATCATGAATGTTGAACTTCTCCTCGTAAATGTAAGCAAAATCAGCTCCAGATGCCAAGCCAGCCATGGTTGCCAGGTAGCCGCAGTGTCCTCCCATAGTCTCAACAATGAACACTCTTCTCTTGGTGCCCGCAGCAGATTGTTTGATCCTGTCACATGTCTGAAAAAGGGAGATGGTTTAGATTTCGTTTTTTGAATTTGTCTGTGTTAGCTTTGTGCTCTCGAAGAGTTTTACCATGGTTATAGTGTTAAGTGCAGTGTCAGCGCCAATACTGAAGTCAGATCCAGGAACATTGTTGGAGACAGTTGCAGGAACTACGACAATAGGAATACAAAGTTCCTCAAACTTCTCTCTAGCCTGCACCATCTGCAGACCCCCAGCAAAAGCCTAGTGAAAACAGGAAGTAGGAAATCAGTAACATGTCATTTAAATGCTGTGGTTAATTATTGGTTAGTGACTCTTTATTGTGACTGCTTACCTCAAAGCCTCCAATAATGACTAGAGCATGAATGTTGAACTTAGCGATGTTCAGACTGATCTCGTCCATGAAGTCTTGTGGCAGTGCCCTTTATAAAAAGGGGGAAAATTCAGGATACACATGCTTAATGGTAAGTTACACGTTTATTTAATAAGACAGAATCATGCCCTGAACCAATCAACAGGGTGGCTTGTTGCAATATCTCACCTTTTTGTGCCCAGGTTGGAGCCCCCCTTTCCAGTCCATCCTGCCACTCCAGACCAATCAATAGGCTCAATCTGTACAGGGAAAGAATGCATGCTCTATCATGATCTGAAAGAAAAAAAGTGTTGTTTTATGTGAGTGTAATTTACCAATCCATGAGCCAGGCCATCGAAGCTGTCGTGCACTGCCAGCATCCGGTGGCCCTGCAGGAGTCCGGCCCTGACTGTTGAACGCACGGCAGCATTCATCCCAGCACACGGAGCTCCCACGTTCAATATGGCAATGTTGATATTACTCTGGCACAGCCCGGGTACATTCACAGAGACATTTGTCAGAATACATTTCCCACTGTGTGACAGTAAATGCACACAAAGGTGGTTCAACTTTCTCACCTTTTTTTCCGGGATGTGCACATGAGCCAGCATTTTGTAAGTGTTCCAATTGTTCTCAAAGCTCCTATTACACAGAAAAGTATTTGCATTCACATCTCCAAACAACACTAATTATTTGAAATAGATCATGCAAAAGTGCATGTCTCACTTTCCCCTGAGCATCACCGCATCGTCAAACCTCCCTTCAGCCATGGCTATGGTGACATCTTTAGTCTGATGAAAGGAAACAGAATTGAATAAGAACAACAACAAAAAAAGCTGAAACTTCTTGCTAATTCAAGTCACTTCTTAATTCAGTATACAATGTATAAGAATGATTTGTTTTGCGAATGGGCCAGATCTGACTCACCACTTGAACACACTCCATAAGAGGCAGCCTGACAGCCATGTTTCCAGACAAACTGACAACACATGCAGGAGTTTCTGGTGTGGCCTCCAGCAGAGCCATCACAGCCTCCACACCCATCCTGCTGGCCTGAATAATCAAAAGCAGACACTTTGAGGAGCAGGTCGTTTGTGTTTATTCACAGTGATTAAAGGCAAAAAGACGAATTGGTGAATTTGTAAAAGGTTTGTGTGTGACAAATTACCAGGATTCTGTCAAAGGCGGAAGGCGTTCCTCCTCTCTGCACATGGCCTAAGATGGTGGTGCGGGTGTCAAAGCCCAGTTTGGTTGATACCAGCTGCACAGAGAGATTATCATTGTATTTCTTATATGAAGAGCCACTCTGTATATGTGTACATTTCTGCCTATACTGACCTTTTTGACGTTTTCACATGTGATAGCTTTACCACTGCGGTCCATCGCTCCCTCTGCAACAATGATAATATTCAAACGGGAGCCACGGCCTCTTTGCTGAAAAGGAAAAAGAAAACGTTCAACAACCCAAGCAGACTTTTCTTATACTGTAGCACAGTCATTAAAAACAATATTTACTTCTGTCAGTCTTCTGCACAGATGCTCCTCCCATCCATCCTCTGGGGGCATCTCTGGGATGAACACCCAGTCAGCGCCACAGGCCAGGGCAGTCACACAAGCCAGGTAACTGTAGGTGCAGAGTCATACACTAAGCTTCAAATGTCTTGTATTACACTGAAAATGAAGTATCCAAAGATTAAGTTCCATATTATAAATTTGACTTTTGTCAAAAGTAACCAGCAGTCAAGCTTCTGTATCAATTATTTTCCAACCACATAACGACCACTCCTGCTCACCACAGAGACTGTACTCACCCACAGTGCCGGCCCATTACCTCCAGGATGAATGTTCTCTGGTGACTGCAGTGCACAACAACACATTTAAGATCAAGACTGTTAAAGTTGCATGGCAAGTCTATCCATCAAATAAATCTATGAATGGTTACATGCAGGGTATGACATTAGCACCTAAGTTATTCAGATTTAAGGATACGTGATATTTTTTTTATTTCTACTGTCTGGTATCACTGACAGAGGGTTTACAATTCTAAAGTGTCAATAGATTCAAAGAGTGGTATTGAAAGATAGAAATATTCAGTGACCTTTGGTAGAGGCAGTTGAGGAAAACACTTAATTTTAGACCCTGGTTACGTGCATACCTCTGTGCTGTGGTTGTGATGGCATCCACTATCTCTATGATGCGATGCAGGGCAGAGTCAGTGCCAATGGTCATGTCAGTGCCACAGAAGTCGTTGTCAATGGAGCCCACCATGCCAACGATGTTGAGATGGGAGGAAGCCTTGGCCTCAGCTGATGTGACCTTACCTGGGACCACAGATGACAACACTCTCAGATACCATTTATTGAAATAACTAACATGCCTAAAACAACATAAACTTGTATGCTAACATCAGTAGAGGGCTGATATGTGAATATAGATCTTTCATTTGGGGTTGTGTTTCTAAGAACAGTGAATTATGGGGTAAAAGTCTCTAACCAGCTTTGAGTAGGATTGCCAGCAGCTCGCTCCACTCTGTTCTGAACTGGTCGGCACCCGTCAGACTGCCATCACCTCCGATCACACACAGGTTTGTAATGCCTAGCTTGACCAAGTTACAGGCGGCCTTGGTGCGGCCCTCCTTGGTACGGAAATCCTGACAGCGGGCACTTCCAATCACAGTCCCACCCTGCAAGAGAAGAAGGGCTAGCGTTATCTGAAACCTACGCATTCATGTCTAACGTCCATTAAGTTCTGAGCTATTTAATGACATGTGGCATTTAAAGGACCATTTGACCTACAGAACTGCATTGTAAAGGTTAAAGATCATCCATTCCACTAACTCGTCACAAGTTAAAAACAGAGGTGAGATAAGGAACTTGCTGATGAATATGCTTTTACATCCTCGTGCTTGTTCTTACCAGCTGAAGCATCATTGACACACTCTCCCAAGTAGCTGGGCGGATATTGTCTCCTCCATCCACCAGACCCTGGTAACCCTGTCAACAAAAACAAAATATCAACTTTGGGAACAGGGGTCATTGCTAGAAAGATGCTTTAGCATTAATGATACATATTTTGACTCTACAATGTACATCTGTTTCAGTCAAAACAGTGTTTTTTTATTTTATTGGGATTTGCTGCTTATTTATAGGTCAGGTGAGAGGCCATGGAGTAATGCTGTACACATTTTGTGTATTAAAAGCAAATCCAATAGAATATGTATTGCCATTTCTCATGCAAGAATGGCAGACATTTGCTGGTTGTATCTTCAGTATCTCCAGTTGTAAGCATATGTTGCTTTGTTCTGTTTATATATGTTGTTTGAATAACTTTTGTGGTTTTAGTTTGTTGAACTAAAACCACAAAAGCTACGACCTGGAGTAATGAACATGAGGGGCATTTTCAACAATGTTTTTGTATTTGTTTTGACATTGTAGAGATCAAATGATTAATAAAAGAAAATAATAACAACACATTTTAACAGGTTTTTACCTCATGGACAAAATACACCTTGGCTCCAGTGTAAATTCCCACTCGAACTGTGGCCCTCACTGCTGCATTCATACCTGTAGGCACAGTGTTTGAGTACATTGTAATTAAAGCACCTTGTGCTCATACAGGTGAAAAGAATGGTTTTAAAAAATACCATTATGAAACAATTGTATAGCTATATTGTACATGACTTGAATTGTTGGTAAAGGTTAAATGATCAGTGATAGTGGAAATGTATTCCAAGAAACACAAATAGGCTGGCACCCTTAACACGCAGGGGTTCGCTTAAAGGACAAGATGTGGATAGATTAACATTATGGGTGCCAAGAGAATCTCCATTTACAGTGTAGAGGAGTAGAGGAGAGAAAGAAAATGAAGGAAGGCCGTCTCACTTCACCTCCCTGCTTTACAAACACATGACAGAAAGGTCATAGCTCTAAAATTAGCCCTCATAACAGAGTACAGTGTTGAAGAGAGAGAGGAAGGAGAAACAGATGAAGAAACGTTGACCTGTGGAAATAAGGATTACTAAAATGGTAAAGTTGTAATGACAATATTGGAGAGAAAAAAAGAAAAAGGGTGAGGGTTAGCAAACTCTGAAGTTTTGTATTATAGAAAATTCCCGTAAAGTCTTATCAAGATCATAGGCAGAAAAACAGATGCATGAACAACTCCCTGTGTCACACCCTCAGATGTTAAGGGTTGGGTGGGATGACTGACCTACTTCCCAAAGGTCACAGTGGAGATGTTCCTCATCAAGTTAAAGGTCAGGTGAAAGCTGTCTGCCTCAGGATTCCTAGACGCTCTAGATGAAGTAATTCGTGTGCCCTTTTCCATAAGTTAGCTCAATGAGATAGAAGGTCAAGGTAACTCAGTGGCAATAGGTATATCATTAAAGTATTATAATCACCAGTAAAAATACACGTGTTGTCAAATTTGATATAAAACTGAACACAATTATGATTGAATATAACACTTAGATGGTCTAGACTTTAGGTACAACTTTTATTTCCAAGGCTATACCTACCTTAAGGTCTTTCAGAACACTTAAACCCACGCTATACAGACATTTTTAGGCTACAGGTATTGTCAAAAACGACCAATGACTATTTTATATTTCAGGGTTTCTTGATCACTTGTGAACAATGTTTCACTATTTGTTTCTAAACCCTGCTGTTGAGATACAATGAGCTTCCCACCTGCTGAGACAAACACGCAGCACACATGCTCTTAGCACTCCACACTAACATGCCACCCTGGACAGCCTTCACTTACCCTGGGCATCGCCTCCCGAGGTAAGCACGGCGATCGACCGACCCGCTCCCATCTTGGTGGGGTCGGTGGAAGGCGGTTGTGCCATAGTCCTGGAGCAGAAGCCCGCTGAGGGAAAGAGGCCTTCAGTGTAAATCTGTGTGAAGTACAAGGAGCCTCTCACCTCTAACTCTGCCTGTGCTATGGAAAGTAATACCAGAGGCAAGAGTGCCCACCTTAACTATCCACTTGGCAGGCATCGAGACACACATAGTTGCACATTTAGACACACACATACACACACTCTATCCATTACTCTATGTCTTCATGTAAACCACACGTGGCAGCATACACGTTGTGTATATGTGATATGAGCTGTGATATGAGGTGATGGGTCAGTGTTATTTAAATCACTGCTGATTGACACACCACACACACACACACACACACACACACACACACACACACACACACACACACACACACACACACACACACACACACACACACACACACACACACACACAGGCTATTAAAAGTATTCAGCCCCTCGTATCTGTCACCAATACCATATCACAAATATCCTAATTGTAGTGTTTAATCACAGTGGGTTACTGTTAGTCTTTTCTCACACTTATCTTTAAAAAGAAATGAAAAACCTATAATATCTATACATTTAAATATAAAACACTAAATAATACATTGTATAATCTTTGCACATACATTTTTCACAATTTTTCCCATTTCAAGATGCATGGGCACCATGAGGGAACAGCAGTTTTCAAGTTTTGACACTAATCCTGAACACTGACCACTGCAGGACAAGGTCATCCTTATTTTATTTATAATTTGTACATTTGGGGCCTTGTCTTACTGGAACATTTGAATTCCTGCAGTTAAACTACTTTTGCAGACTACGGCAGTATTTTTGTTTATAACTCCTTACAAGAGAGAAGGGTAAACTATACTCAGATATGATTTGCTTGTATTATAATATACGTCAAAGTTTAGCTGGAGAAGTGAAAGGCATGGGAAGCAAAGCAAGGCATGTTAGGCATTTAACTATCTGCTGTCACAGCACCTGAAGGTACAACACCAATTAACGTGTGTTTTTGGGCACCATATACAATTACATTATGGGAAGGTGATCTCTGAAAGTGTTATGTATTTAACATTTCCCTGTCAAGGTAATGCAGTCAAGCTTACCAGTGACCCCAGGTTCATCAGAGTTTGAAGTCGGCTTGTTTTCCCATTCAGATGTTGAGAGGTCATTACAACCTGAGAATAGATAACCTTAACACTTACATGTAACCCAAATTGTATCCATAAGGCATTCCAGAGTGCATGGCAAAAAGGTACTGACATGATAAACCTTCCCTTATAAAGACAGAACACTCAAGCATTGTTCCTCCACACTTTGTCTCATTTAAAGCACTCGTGATCACTTTGTAACATCCTCTATCTGAACATGTCAGGTTAGTAGTGTGTACTGGGGAAAAAGCACATAAATAAATGTTGCACATATTTCTATGTAAAACAAAGAAACATATAGCCTTCTCTGAATTTAACAACTTACAATAGACACAACAGTTCTTTAAAGATTGATTGTTTTATTTTGTGCTAGAAGATGAAAATGGTTGCACACAAACAAGACCGCTGGGTATTATAAATGGATAGCTCCCACTCACAAAGCCTATAATTCAGAGCCTGTAATTCACACAACCATTTGTGCTTGGTTTGACATTTCCTAGCGTAAATGATTTCTGTTTCGAGGGAAATCCAAACCCCATGATGAGACAACTGTCAGTTACTTTTAAATTGACTCCTCTTCCACTAGCAGACACGTTATATTGAGTTAGTCTGGATATATGAAACTGAGTAATTAGATACAGTGCAGTTCTAGACCTACAAACAAAACAATCAATGTGACAACAGTGAGTGGGAGTAAATGTTGCAGGCAGCTCACTGAAGTTGTCTTTAAATAGATATCTGGATGTAGACACAGTGCTGCTATCTATAACAACACAAAAACCCCTCCCCCTGTTCGGCCATTACTGTAAAACTGCACTGTCATCCCTACTGAACATGTCAAAACATGTCATGCTTCTGTATTTATGACCTTTTGACCTGATACATGAATATACACTTCTTTACCCCTCAAAAAAGACACCTCAAGGTTTCCATATATAAAAAAATCAGGCAACTACAAGTATTCATATACAGTTAAATGCACAGACTGAAATGACCAATCAAAGAACAAAAATATGCGTTCATACCTTGACGTTTCTTTCTGAGCCAGAGCAGCAGCCAGGCCAGCAGAGGGACAGAGAGGAGCCACGCCGCTGACGGGACGCCCGGGTACCACATCCTCACAGCGTCTCTCTGTTTCAGAAACCATTCTGCATCTGATCTGTATTAATAGCTTTGATATCACTACTTCATTGTAGAGGGATGACCTTCATTGCTAAAGCATGGTGGGTAACTAAATACAATCCACAAGTCTCTGTAATTAACAGAAGGCAGCAGTGCTAGGGGGCGCGGCACAAGTAACACACTATTGTATAGAATTATAGTATAAAAAAGGCCATGTTGACAGAGTAATAGAAACCTCTTCAGATCTGAAATATTTTGTCTTCATGTGGCACATATAGTATAGCAAATACCTTTCATCAACACACCTATACACCTTTTCTTTGATTATATATATACCCAGTACATTTACTAGTGTTGGGAAGTAATTAACAAGTGGTTAAACTACATTAATTATTGCATATTGAATACACTAGTTAAATTATGATTACATTTTATGTTTTATTTTAGGCCATAAAACGATGTACGCAAAACTGATGAGTCAACCAACAGGCCCTGTGCTCAAGTTGGGCAAACAGTATAAAATGTGCAAGTTATAAATATTTTTGAAGGATATGCATTATTTTTGGGGTTTATGTGTGACAAGTGAACAAACGGAAGATGACACAATTCAGAGGCTTTTTGTGCTGTCATGTGACTATTTTGTTTAAACAACTTTGATATATTTCTGGAACGAAGTGTGAACAGCTTTTTAAAAAAAAGAGCTGTAATCAACTCCCCTCTATTATAAATCAACAAAAAGTTATTAACTTATTAATGGTTGTATTTTTGTATTTGTTCCTCAATTTTGTACATAAATTGCAAAATTAGAACAAGCTAAATGTATTCATCTCATATACATCACAATATGTTATGATAACAATTCCTTATATTATTCCTGATGTTAAAACATATTACATTTTTTATTTGGTGAACTCCATTACTCTATGTCTTCATGTAAACCACACGTGGCAGCATACACGTAGCTGTGATATGAGGTGATAGTGGGTCAGTGTTATTTAAATCACTGCTGATTGACACACACACACACACACACACACACACACACACACACACACACACACACACACACACACACACACACACACACACACACACACACACACAGAGAGAGTTAACACCTTTTAAACATTAAAATCAAGGACGTTTTTAAATGACTTTCCAGGCCCAATGCCCTAAATTTCAAGGACCCAACACAGCGTAGATTGAGAACCTTGCTGGCCTCCTACTGTTTAGCATGCATCCTTTCACCCTCAATTACTGATGCATGTGACTGTAACACTTTCTCAAGACAAGTGGAACATGAAGCAATGACGCAAAAGCAGGAGACATGTAAACAGCGAAACATAGCCCAATTCAATACAAAATATATCAATACCTTCAATTTCTATTTTGGCGCAAATAAATTAAAGCCATTTCATTGACGAAAGTCAGTTTATGTCTATTTTTAAGATCTTAAGGTCTTGATAAAAAAATGTGAGGTTTACACACTTTCAAAGATTACAAAAGCCTATAAACCATACACACAAACTATCATAGTTAACCCTAGACTCGTCCTGGTACAAAACAGAAATGTCAACAACAGTTTTTACATTTAAATTGGTCCTCACAAAAACAGTACAAAAGCAATAAAAACAAATATAATGATAAATAAATTAAATTATTTATCTGTGAAGGTCATGACTCTCCCTTAGCATCATATTTTCCCACCAGCAACATGACTTCTAAAGCAGACACATCACTGTGAAAAAAAGTGAGTTTGTCATAAGCGCACGTCTCCGGTGGTGTTTGTTTGTGCAGAATCTTTCCAATACTCTGCGCCCCAGGTGGGTTAAGCGACGTGTAGCCCTCTCTTGAGGCAAACCCCGATCAATAGCACCATTTCCAGGTAATCCTCCCTCCTGTCTTCCCGGACAGTATCAACACTCGCACAGCCTGTAATAAACAATATGGATCAATACAACACTGGTTCAACACAAAAACACTTCCACCTCAGATAATGCCGTGAAATGTGGACTGCATATCGTTACAATCTGACCCCTCAAAGCCTTCAATTATATAAAACATATGGTAAGTAATTAGATCATGAATGGGATTGTTAGATAATGACTTGTATTACGGCAACACAGTTCTCTATGATTGCAAGATTGTTTCCAAATGAGTACATGCAATTTCATTTTGCATAAAGAAAGTCATCTGGCATTTAGAATTATGAAACTGCGTGGTCATCATTAGGCCTAAATTGCGTGATATCACATTTGTGTTTTAGTACAGAGATTAAAACGTGGTACAATCACATACTGTAGCTGCAATACATAGTTAAAACTGAGTATCATGGTCACTTTAACAAGTCTGGGCTGCATAAGATTAACACAAATGTAGAAAAAGTATTCATAATGCAATGTAAATGTCAGTACTATGCTGTACTTCAGTGCAGATTCTCTAACTTCCTTCAGCTCTCAGCCAACAGGTGGCAGCAGCATCTGATCTTCCCCGTCTCTGTGTTTATCGGACTGAGAAGCACATGCAAAGTCTGGCCCAATAAATCATGCACTGAAAGTGTCAGTGCAAATTTTGTTAGATTTTATTGCTGTTTAATCATCTCAATGAATGTTTTAATAGGCTGATATTTCAGAGAGCGAATGGCAACGCAGTGATAAATTGTGTGGGGTGAGATGGCCCCCTCCCCCGGCCCCCCGCCTTACCCCTCTCCTCTTCCCCCTTTCGCTGCAGAGAATCACTAATGTAGACTTGCACAGCTATTTGTCCACTTATTGGTTATATAATTAGATTATTCATATTCATTTTTACAACAAACAGACCTATCTGTAATTGGCCAGTGAAGCAA